GGCATCATGCTCTCAGACAAGGAGACAGAAGCCTGAGTGTAAACACACCCAAAGTCAGGGTCCTGCAGGCTGCATGCCAGCCCAGGTCTCTGACCTCAGTCCTCCCGCTGTGCCCCAAGGACCTCCACGGAGGCCCAGAAAAAGGATGGTTCAAAGCGAAACCCTTGGGGCCACACAGACCCGGGCTCAGAGCCTCCCTTTACCTTTTTTTTGCTCGTGTAACCACAGGCAGGTTACTGCGTGTTCTCGGGCCTCCTTTGCTTCCGTTGCCAAGCGGATTCTGCACCGCCCTCCTCGCAGGATTGGGAGGTGAAGACAGATGATCGGATCGTACAAGGAGCTTTAGCAGCGGGGCAGGCTGCCGGGAAGAGCTCAGCAACGGGAAGTGACTTAGCAAGCGTGACCTTTGTTCCAGACTCGCATAAATAATTTTTGTTGCATTTTTTAAAATATATATATTTTTTATTGATTTTTTTTTTTTTTTTTTTTTTTTTTTTTTTTTTACAGAAAGGAAGGGAGAGGAAAAGAGAGCTAGAAACATCGATGAGAGAGAAACATCGGCCAGCTGCCTCCTGCACACCCACCACTGGGGATATGCCCGCAACCAAGTACATGCCCTTGACAGAAATGGAACCCAGGACCCTTCAGTCCGCAGACCGATGCTCCATCCACTGAGCCACACCGGTTTCGGCTGTTGCTTTTCTTTAATTTTCCGTAAATTTAATTTTGATGGCAGTCCACTCTCCAGGTGCCCGCCCCTGGCAGGGCCTTACACCTCCCAGTGCCTCCAGGGCACCATGGCAAAGAGCCAGGGACTTCGTGGAGAGCCACACTCCTGCTCCCGCGGGGCCCATCAGAAAACTGGACCGAATTCTCAGAGCCTCAGGGAGGCAGGGGAAGTGTCTGCACTTGCCTGCCGGGCCGTAGGTGCTGCCAGGAAAGTGAAGAGAAACAAAACAAGCGTCCACAATAGACCCCCAGGAACGCTCCTCTCCAAGCAGGACCGTCAGCTGTGATTGTGACAACCCCGAGATCAGTCAGTCCTGCCTCCCCGAGGCCACACAGTAGGCTTGGGAATAAAAAAAAAAAGGATGTTAGTGACAATGACATCTGACTCTCTCGCTCAGTTGCCACTGTTTGTGTACTCCAGCTCCTGCCCTCTCCTAAGTAAGAGGTGAAGGTGACTTGGTATGCAATACTTAACATTTTCCCCCAACAAGTGAATGAATGAATGAATGAATGAATGAGTGAGTGAGTGAGTGAGTGAGTGAAGGGAAGTGCATGAGGGGGAAAGTCCTATGTAAAAGCAAGATTTCCCTTGAAAAATAGGTAGACCTGGAACCCGGCCAGTGTGGCTCATTGGTTGAGCATCAACCTTTGAACCAGGAGGTCCTGGTTGGATTCTCGGTCAGGACATTTGCCCAGGTTGCAAGATCGATCCCCAGTGTGGGATGTGCAGGAGGCAGCCTATCCATGATTCTCTCTCACCATTGATGTTTCTATCTCTCCCTTCCCCTCCCTCTCTGAAATCAATAAAAATAATTTTTAAATATGTTTGGTGTTTTTTTTTTTTTTTTAAGGTAGGCTTGTCCTGCTCAGCACACGTGTGGGATTGGCTTGCAGAGGCAGCTGGTGCAGATCCAAGCTCACTGCACTTTTCCTGGAACAAACTCCAGAGGCGAGCAGTCAGGAAGGAGCCGGCCTTCCCCAACTTACCCTCCTCCTGCTAAGACGTGGCATTCACCCCGGGGCCTCACAACTGCTCAAACCCAGTATCTTATCTGCATTTCTCTCCAGCAGGGAGGGGAATCCCCACCCTCTTTCTTTAGTGATATTTCCCAGAGACATCAGGGAACATTGCAGTTGCATGTGCGTGGCCAGAGTTAGGGATAGTGCCATGTGCAGATGTGACGAACATGGGCCTGGCTGCCAGCCCGCAGCCCTCACTGGGCACGAATAATATAAAGTAATGTAATGTAATGTAATGTAAGTAATATATAAAATAATATAGTATAGCATAATATAGTTTAATATAATATAATTAATACTAGGGGTCCAGTGCACAAAATTTGTGCACTGGAGAGGGGTCCCTCAGCCCAGCCTGCCCCCTCTCACATACTGGGAGCCCTCAGGGGATGTCAAAGGTTATGACTTGCTACTCTATAGAGTAGTGCTATTGCGAAAACAGAAGCAATAAAAGACGGAAGACCCTTTTCTAAACGTCCTCTCACAACACATGTCCTCAAAGGCAGTTGGGAGCAATTGCCAGGGATTGGCTGAAGCATATTGGTTTAGCCAATGAAAAGCTTCCTTGGATGCCTTCAGTAGCAGCAGGAGGAGGCCTGCTCTAAGTCTTGGGCCCAGCAGAGCTGAATTCTTTTTTTTTTTTAAATATATTTTATTGATTTTTTACAGAGAGGAAGAGAGAGGGATAGAGAGTTAGAAACATCGATGACAGAGAGTCATCCATCAGCTGCCTCTTGCACACCCCCTACTGGAGATGTGCCCACAACCAAGGTACATGCCCTTGACCGGAATCGAACCCAGGACTCTTCACTCTGCAGGCCGACGCTCTATCCACTGAGCCAAACCAGTTTTGGCAGAGCTGAATTCTTCTGTCCCTCATGCCAGCCCCACCTCCTCAATTCCAACTCGCAAAGGGCCAAACTTGCCAACACAGCTAGCTCCACCCAGCTCCTTGACCTTGTGAGGTCCTTGGGATAATCTTTATAGAAAGGAACGTACCGATGATTAAACAACCTGGGCTATTTGCTCACGCCGTGTTCCTCTCCACACTCCTTCGCACTTTCATGTTCAGCTGGCCTTTCACAGGGATCAAAAGACACCGCGTGAGCTTCAAGGCCAAGAGCCGAAAAGGCGTTACCTAGCAAAGCTGTCCAACCCAGAGCGCATCACAATAGCGTTTGAGTGATGCAGAGGGATCAAGCCCCCCCTCACTCTGCAGGGTGCCTGAGCATCCAACATCCGGGGGCGGCAGAAGTAGCCGCTGTCCTCAGAGGACCCCTCTGTAAAGCAAGAAGGTCTCCAACGACTGCAGCCCAAGCAGGTAACGCCCGCATGACTGTCAGCGCCCGCACTTCTCTCTCCTCCCGCTTCGTGGTTGCATTACTGAATAGCTGTTTGCATGTGGAATGTTCTAGAGACTGGAGCTCACGATGTACAGACACTTTGAGGCAAACCTTTCCTAAAGGCAAGAATTCTTTGACAAAGTGAACATTCATACTCAACTTTGAATTATCTGAATGGTTTTATCTCAACATTTTTTTAAATAAATATATTTTATTGATATATTTTATTGATATATTACAGAGAGTAAGGGAGAGGGATAGAAAGTTAGAAACATTGATGAGAGAGAATCACCGATCAGCTGCTTCCTACACACCCCCTACTGGGGATGTGCCCGCAACCAAGGTACATGCCCTTGACCGGAATCGAACCTGGGACCTTTCAGTCTGCAGGCCACCACTCTATCCACTGAGCCAAATCGGTTTTGGCTACTAAATAGTTTCTTAAACGACAGGCTTTGTAAATGCATTCATAAACCAATGAGGAAAGATCTCAGAACCAAAATGCATAATACAATAGAATTCATCAAAGGACTCTGGGAATTCAGAGGCGGGCACTTGGCCATTTGGAAGTCAGAACAGGCCTTGAATAGGCCCTGAAGAACTTGCAAAACTTAGACTAGAAAGGAAGAAGGGAAAAGCATTCAGGCAGCCGAGACCGGTTTGGCTCAATGGATAGAGCGTTGTCCTGTGGACTGAAGGGCCCCAGGTTCAATTCTGATCAAGAGCATGTACCTTGGTTGCGGGAACATCCTGAGTAGGGGTGTGCAGGAGGCAGCTGATCAATGTTTCTCTCTCATCGATGTTTCTAACTCTCTTATAAATATATATTTTTTTAAAAAAAGAAAGAAAAGCGCCCTGGCTGGTTTGGCTCAGTGGATAGAGCATCGACTGGTAGACTGAAGGGTTCCCGGTTGGTTCAATTCTGGTCAAGCCACATGCCAGGTTGTGGGCTCCATATCCAGTAGGAAGCATGCAGGAGACAGCTGATCAATGATTCTCTCTTTTTATTGATGTTTCTATCTCTCTCTTCCTCTCTGAAATGGATAAAACTATATTTTAAAATAAAAAAGAAAAGCATTTCTGCATGCATTAGTTTACACTTCCATGTCTCTGTGCCCTTTTTCAAGTCTATTTCCTTCCCTAAAATGTCAGGCAAAAGATCTCTACTTTAATATATATATATATATATATATATATATATATATATATATATATATATATATATAAATTATATATATATATATATATATATATATATATATATATAGACACACACACACATACATATACCGTGTTTCCCCGAAAATAAGACATCCTTCGAAAATAAGACCTAGCGCATGGAAAGATAAGACATCCCCTGAAAATAAGACCTAGCGCAACTTTGGGAGAAAAATTTAATATAAGACACTGTCTTATTTTCAGGGAAACAGGGTAAATATAATTTTTTAAAAATATATTTTATTGATTTTTGTACAGAGAGGAAGGGAGAGAGATAGAGAGTTAGAAACATCAATGAGAGAGAGCCATCGATCAGCTGCCTCTTGCACACCCCCTACTGGGGATATGCCGGCAACCAAGGTACCTGCTCTTGACCGGAATCGAACCCGGGGCCCCTCAGTCCCCAAGCCGACGCTCTATCCATTGAGCCAAACCGGTCCTGGCGATATATATAATTTTTAATTGATATTTAGAGAGAGAGGAAGGGAGAGGGAGAAAGAGATAGAAATATCGATGATGACAGAGAACCATAAATCAGATGCCTCCTACACACCCCCTACTGGCGATCGAGCCGGAAACCCATGCACGTGTCCTGACCGGGAATCGAACCCTGACCTCCTGGTTCATAGGTCAATGCTCAACCCCTGAGCCAGTGACCTCTACCTTTAAGAAGGGTTGTGTAATACCAGATGACTCTCCACCTGGAAATATACATACACTTGCCATGGGCACATTCTTCAATTTTCTTTTTTCTTTCAGAACCCCGTTCCTCATGGCCGCCATCCGGCTGCGGCAGTTTGTTGACCGCCACCCGCAGATCCCACCCAGGTAACCTCCCTCCAAAGGCGGACGGCGGGCAGGCGCCCGGGGAATCGGAACTGGGCACCTGCCGCTCTGTGATTGGCAGGCAGCTGCTGGCAGGGGGCTCTAGAGACGTTTCTTTGGGGTTTAGTATTTAGTGAACTTTAACAATATTTAAGTTCTTTCGCCTCTAGAAATTATCAAAGGGAGAAGGGGGCGGGAGGGACCTTGGTTCCTCGGTATTTTGAAAACCCTTTCAGAGAAAATCCAGAGCCTGCCGAAACCGGTGTGACTCAGTGGATAGAGCATCGGCCTGCGGACTGAAAGGTCCCGGGTTCGATTCCGGTCAAGGGCATGTACGTTGGTTGCGGGCACGTCCCCGGTGGGGGTTGGGGGGGTGCAGGAGGCAGCTGGTCGATGTTTCTCTCTCGTCGACGTTTCTAGCTCTCTATCTCTCTCCCTTCCTCTCTGTAAAAAATCAATCAAATATATTTTTAAAAAATAAATAAATAAAAAGAAAAAAAGAAAATCCAGGGTGGTTCCAGTGGCTCTTGGTTTCTGTCTCCCCACACAGGTCTGGCCTTTCTGTGTGTTTTGTCCACGGTTGGGGCCTATTTAACTGTGGTCTCATCTCCTGGGGGGAAATGGAAACTAACTTCCCTTTGTGGCTGCTGCCTGGGGCTCAGCGGAACTCACTCAGACACTGGGCCTGAGCTGAGCCAGCCGTGGGCAGCCTGAGGGTTTGGGCGGGACACGGTGTGACAGGGCACTGAAGTCCCAAGGCTGGCTGGATTCTGTTCTCTGTGTTCATCCATCAGAGCCCCACCAGGGGGCGCCTGTCAGCCACCCACCGCCCACCTTCAGTATTCACTGTGGAGCAGGGCTGTCTGTCTTCTGCCTTGGCAACAATGGTGGGTCCAATCCACCAGCAAGCTCAGTCCTGCCTCCAGGATGCATCTCCCATGGCAGTGACTCACCATCTCCACTGCCAACCCTGGTACAGACCAACGTGGCCTCTCCCTTGCTCATCTTCACCAACCACCACTCTTGTTGTCCTACACCCCATCCTCTGCCTTGAGCTTCATGAAGTATAAATAGGATCGAAGCCACCCCCCTTTGCATAAAGCCCTGTGATGACTACATTTTGCATAAAATCCAAACTCTGTTGCCAGGGCCTGCAAAGCCGACCTGAACTGGCCTTGCCCATCTACAAACCCCATTGTCTTCTTCCATCCCTTCAACGGGCCACACTTCTTCATTCTCCAGGGCTTTTGGGCATGTCCCTTCTCCCGGGACCGCTCCCTCCCGGGCCCTGCCTGCCCTGTTTTAACCAGCCTCCTGTCAACCCCCTGCTTAGCTCCTTGTCAACTGCTCAGAGAGCAATTCCTTAACCACCCTGGCTAAAGAAGGTCTTCTGTCCACCTCTCCAGCTCTGTTATTTTTTTTAAATATATATATATATATATATATATATATATATATATATATTATTGATTGTTTACAGAGAGGAAGAGAGAGGGATAGAGAGTTAGAAACATCGATGAGAGAGAGACATCGATCAGCTGCCTCCTGCACACCCCCTACTGGGGATGTGCCTGCAACCAAGGTACATGCCCTTGACCGGAATTGAACCTGGGACCCTTCAGTCTGCAGGCCGACGCTCTATCCACTGAGCCAAACCAGTTTCGGCCAGCTCTGTTATTTGTTATTATTATTATTATTGATCTCAGAAAGGAAGGGAGAGGGAGAGAGAGAAGCATCAGTGATGAGAATCATTGATCGGCTGCCTCCTGCATGCCCCCCCTACTGGAAATGGAGCCTGCAACCTGGGCATGTGCCCTGACTGAATCAAACCGTGACCTCCTGGTTCAGAGGTCAATGCTCAACCACTAAGCCACACCGGCCAGGCTTCACCTCCTTTATACTCCACCTCACACCTTTTTTGGAAACATGGCCTCGTGGCCCTTATCGGAACTTATTTTATTTCCTCCGGGTCTCACCCACTGGAGTAACAGTTAACACTCATGCAACTCTTAACCACTGTGTTTAAACCTTTACCAACAACTTTGAAGTACAGATGAGGAGGTACAACTGAGGCACAGAGTGGTTAAGGAACATCCCAAGACCCCACAGCTGGTCCGTGATTGGCAGAGGTGGGATCTGAACCCACTGGCCTGGCTCCAACATCTGTCTTCTTGATCCCTGTGGGGAGCGGCTACAGTGTTTGGACAGGTCCAAGCCTCGGGCTGATGAGAGGGCACAGTCCTCTCATGGCCACGTGCAAGCCCCAGCCAACAGCTGTGGTTGTCAGCTTGAACCTGTGGTCCGAATACGTGGCCCCACGTGTCTGAGTGACGTGGGCTTGATGGAGTTCAGGTGCATGTAATTGAGTGGGATTGAAACTCATGAGAATGTTGTAAACATCTTGACCACGCCCTTGCTTTTGCCTCGTGGCATCGGCTATTGTTATGAGCTCTCCATCAGAAAGGACAGCGTGCCACGGAGACGCAGCTTCTTTCTCTTGTCTGTCTTTTCCTAATCCTTCACCGCCCCCTCTCAGGCTCACCGGCTCGCCACAGATCCCCACACTCCATCACATCTGGTTAGCTCCCTAGGGTGGGCTCGTTTGTCTCTCCCTGCAGCCCACCATTGTCACTTCTGCCCCCTGATTGTCACACAATGTGGTAGGGCCTATGCACATTTGCTGAAAAAAATGAAAATGAATGAATCCATTCTTCATTGAGGAAAAGAAACCAAACACGATTCTATCAGTTATTTGGTTTGGTTTCGTGGTGACTGGCAGTGAGTGCCTGGCGAAGACCCGCCCTTCTGCTGATCCTCTGGCTCAAGCTTTTATCCAGTCCATCCTTCAGTGCCCAACCCTGGCCTGTGCTAGGCAAGACTGAATTTCCAGCCAGTGGGAGCCCCTAATAAAATGAAATAGGAGCCCAAACCGGTTTAGCTCAGTGGATAGAGTTAAACCACTGAGACTGAACGGTCCCGGGTTCGATTCCAGTCAAGGGCACGTACCTTGGTTGTGGGCACATCCCCTGTGGGAGGTGTGCAAGAGGCAGCTGATGGATGTTTCTCTCTCATCGATGTTTCTAGCTTCCTATCCCTCTCTTCCTCTCTGTAAAAACTCAATTAAATATATTTTTAAAAAATAAATAAATAAATAAATGAAATGAAATAGGAAATGGCTGTGACCGCAGAGAACTTTCTTAGCAAGAACTACGGTAGATGCAGAAGTCGACTTGTGCCGACCCCAAGCTCCAGACCCGTCACTCGGGGGCAGGGCTGGGAATTGCAATGGTTTGTAGAGCCCAGGCCGCCCCGAAAAGATCCCTTCAGGGGGAAGACACTCAGGATGGTGCAGAGGATTAACAGAAAAAAGAACCGGTGTCAGCATTTTATAAACTCTGGTTGGCAGCTGTCTCTGAGGGGTCGGGGCAGCTCAACCCCGAACAGGTGGGGTATCTGTGTCATCAGGACAGTCACAGATCTCTCACCACTCTCATATCATCGTTGGTGGAGGTGATGGTTTCACCCCCACGTGACTGACGAGGAACCTGAGCTCCCTCTTCCTCGAGGAGATGGGCGGGGACAGTTGCCTTGGAGACGAGGCCCCAGCATGGCGGCCTCCATCTCCTGTCCTCATTAGCTCGTGTCCTGACTGAGTGACTTATTGCCCCCGAGTCTCTGGCTCCTGGCTCGTTGGTTGCCTGGATACGGCTTTGCTTCCAGATGATAAACTCTTGAGTGGAAAGATTTTTATTTATCACCACTCCATCCCTAGCACACTGCAGACACACAGAGCACGTGTTCAACTGTATTAAACAAACGAAAATTGCAAGCAGCTAACACTGCCATGTCTTCTTTCTTTTCCTATTCCTTTAGTCTATGACATCTACTTCCTGCCTGCCCATCAGTCAGGGAGTCATGACTCAGTGGATAGAGCGTTGGCCCACGGACTGACGGGTCCTGGGTTCGATTCCAGTCAAGGGCACGTACTTTGGTTGCAAGTTTGATCCCTGGCCCTGATCGGGGAGTGTGCAGGAGGCAACCAATCAATGTCTGTCTCATATGGATGTTTCTTTCTCTATATTCCACTCTCCCTAAAAATCAATGGAAAAATATCAGGTGAGGATTAAAAAACAAACAAACAAACAAAAGACAGTACAAGTAAGAGAATGTAAAATATCTTATTTTTTAAAAACACTAAACTCTTCTGGAAAATGTAATCATACATACATATAGATGACTCTGCTTTTATTTTTAATTATTTTTATTTATTTAAAAAATATATTTTATTGATCTTTATACAGAGAGGAAGGGAGAGAGTTAATTAGAAACATCAATGAGAAAGAGTCATCGATCAGCTGCCTCTTGCACACCCCCTACTGGGGATATGCCCGCAACCAAGGTACATGCCCTTGACCGGAATCGAACCCGGGTCCCTTCAGTCCCCAAGCCGACGCTCTATCCATTGAGCTAAACTGGTCCCAGCCATATAGATGACTCTGGATGCAACCCGGAGTCTGGAGGACTGGGTTTGACTCGTGGCTCTGGCAGATGCTAGCGGTAACATTTAGAAAGTCCGCTCTCTGAGCCTCAGGCTCCTCTTGCACAACCAGGTGTAAATATTTACCTGGCGAGGTGACCGTGAGAACTGGGTGAGATCATCTCCGATGATCTCCGGGCAGCAGGGGGCAGACAGAACAGAATGGCAGTCCCAGCCGCAGCCCCCTCGGGGACAGACACTCCCCACCTCCCGGGGGCATATCGAATGGTGTCTGTGGTTCCAGTCACCCTCCCAGGGGACAGGTCTGCTCTTGTCTGAACTGAGTGCGTTGCCTGGGAGAGCCGAGCTGTCCTGGGCTGTAAATAATGCATCAGACACAGCGGACTCCCGCCCCATCCGAGGAGGGCAAAGGCAGAAACCGGTGTGGCTCAATGGAGAGAGCGTCGGCCTGTGGACTGAAAAGTCCCGGGTTCGATTCTGGTCAAGGGCATGTACCTGGGTTGCGAGCATATCCCCAGTGGGAGGTGTGCAGGAGGCAGCTGATCGATGATTCTCTCTCATCGATGTTTCTTTCTTTTCTTTTCTTTTTTTTTAAAATATATTTTATTGATTTTTTTACAGAGAGGAAGGGAGAGGGACAGAGAGCTAGAAACATCAATGAGAGAGAATCATCGATCAGCTGCCTCCTGCGCACTCCCTACTGGGGATGTGCCTACAACCAAGGTACATGCCCTTTACCGGAATCGAACCTGGGACCTTTCAGTCCGCAGGCCGACGCTCTATCCACTGAGCCAAACCTGTTTCGGCAAAATCGGGACTTTTTTTTAAAACGCTGTGGGATGGGGGGGAAATTGTTAAAAATCGGGACTGTCCCGCCAAAAGCGGGACAATCTGGGTCACCTTAATTAGAGGCAAAGTATCCCATCTTCCGCCCCCACCCTCCACCACCCACCTTACACACGTCTCCACTGTCCTGTCCGTTCCTGGGCCAAACCTGCCCAGGGGTCACCCCACAAGCTCAATGGCAGAGCGTTGGCTGGTGCTGGTGGCGGGCTCCTCCCCAAACAGCTGGGCTGCCACCTCGGCTCAGCGAGGGGAGGATCCATGGTCAGAGCACAGCCGGGCGCACAGCACAGCTGCCTGGAGAAGCCAGTGGCACTCTGGAGCTCCACTGGCGTCTAATAAACTGGCACATGGCCCCGGGGAATCATTCAGACCTGGATGGCACCGACAGAAGCCACGCTCCCATCCCGGGCACTCAGAAATGTCATTTGAGCCGAAACCGGTTTGGCTCAGTGGATAGAGCATCGGCCTGTGGACTGAAAGGTCCCAGGTTCAATTCCAATCAGGGGCATGTACGTTGGTTGCGGGCACATCCCCAGTAGGGGGTGTGCAAGAGGCGGCTGATTGATGATTCTCTCTCATTGATGTTTCTAACTCTCTATCCCTCTCACTTCCTCTCTGTAAAAAATCAGTAAAATATATTTTAAAAAAAAGAAATGTCATTTGTTCCCACCATTGTGCCAACTCCTCTCTCTCCTATGACTCAGCGCCCGCTGTTAGTTACCATCCAGGCCTTGGTCATGTTACCCACCGCGGGGCAGGCCCAGACAGCCTGTGGTTTCTCTGAAAATCCGAGCTCCCGGGGTCCTGTTTGCACAGACGGATGGACCCGCCCTGCTCACAGAGCTCGCCTTTCATCCCAGGTAGAAATGGGGACCCCACCGGTCCCCCCATGCCCCACTCTGACCCCAACTCTAGCCAAGTCTCGATTTCTGAAATTGCCTCATCCTATTTGCCTCCCCAAACGCTAGACACCTGCCCAAATCCTAGACCAGTGGTCGGCAAACTGCGGCTCCCAAGCCACATGCGGGTCTTTGGCCCCCTGAGTGTGGCTCTTCCACAAAATTACCACGGCCTGGGGGAGTCTATGTTGAAGAAATGGCGTTAGGAGAAGTTTAACTCTAAAAAATTTGGCTCTCCAAAGAAATTTCAATCGTTGCATTGTTGATAGTTGGCTCTGTTGGCTGATGAGTTTGCCGACCACTGGCCTAGACCGATTGGCCTTTATTCAGACCACTGTTTCGGCACTGGAAGAGCACTGTGAGGACAAGGACTGCTGCTGAGTCAGCTAGAACCCAGCAGGGCGTGCAGAGTTAGTTACGTATATTCCAGAAGTGATGTTTGGACGGGAGGGATATAGCTTAAGTTTCCATTCATCGCCAGAACCTATTGACGAGTTACTTCATGCAAAACCATGAACTATTTTCTACTGACGTTTCCCTGGAATTCCTTTTTTTTTTTAAATATATTTTATTGATTTTTTTTACAGAGAGGAAGGGAGAGGGATAGAGTTAGAAACATCGATGAGAGAGAAACATCGATCAGCTGTCTCCTGCACATCCCCTATCAGGGATGTGCCCGCAACCAAGGTACATGCCCTTGACCGGAATCGAACCTGGGACCCTTCAGTCAGCAGACCAACGCTCTATCCACTGAGCCAAACCAATCAGGGCTTTTTCCTGGAGTTCTTACAGCACCTACTGAGCACTCGGAATCTGTGGAAGGTCCTAAAAGACTGCACACCTCCCAAACGCTATAGCCATCCAACAATGGCCATCGTCCGGTGTCCCCTCTCGCAGGGAATGGCAGCATCTTCCCAAAGCCTGAAGCCTAAGCCTGGCCTTGGACAGCTCCCATCTTTTATCTCCATCCTCTGCTCTCCATCCACCTTTTCAACACATTGCTCAGAGCTTCACCATGCCCCACATAAACCACTAAAATCTCCTCCTAACCAGCCTTTCTACTCCTAGTCAGATTGTCCTCAGATTTGTTTTCCACTGCCACCAGCAAAAAACTTTCTAAAATAAAAAGTGTATTATAGCCTGGCTAGTGTGGCTCAATGGTTAAGCACCGATCTATGAACCAAGAGGTCATAGTTCAATTTCCGGCCATGGCACAGGCCCAGGGTTGCGGGCTTGATCCTGTGTGAGGCATGCATCTCTCATCATTGATGTTTCTATCTCCCTCTCCCTCTCCCTTCCTCTCTGAAACATATATATATATATAGTAGAGAATGTAAGAAACCCACATTTTCTTGTCTTTTTTTAATATATATTTTATTGATTTTTTTACAGAGAGGAAGAGAGAGGGATAGAGAGTTAGAAACATCGATGAGAGAGAATCATCGATCAGCTGCCTCTTGCACACCCCCTACTGGGGATGTGCCCACAACCAAGGTACATACATGCCCTTGACCAGAATCAAACCCGGATCTTTCAGTCCACAGGCCCACACTCTATCCACTGAGCCAAACAGGTCCCGGCAGAAACCCCCATTTTCTAATTCCCACTTTTCAACTATAATCAACATTTGCCCCACTGGTTTTAAATACCATTGCATTTTCCCCCCTGATATTTTGAAACTGACACGTCAAATATTTCCTGATGATCGCTTGAACCTGAACCTGAAAACTGGATTAAAAAAAGAAAGACACTCTCATCAAGAAAGTCCAAGGGGGTATAGCATTGGGAAGGTAGTCAATAATACTTCGATAATTATGTGTGGTGCCAGGTGGGTACTAGACTTATCGGGGGGGATCACTTTATAAATTACATAAAGGTCTTGTCACTATGCCATGCAACTGAAACCAATATAATATTTAATGTCAACTGTAATTAAAATACTGTCTTGAAATAAAAAAATAATTAACTAGCTAATTAATTAAAAGTTGGAGGGAAGGGGGGAGTCCAAGGAGTTCTGTGCCAGAAAAGAGGGGCAAAGACCGAATATCTTTTTGAATTACATCACAGCTAAAGAACTGATCGTAATAATTGCCCTTTTCTCGCCCCTCACTTTCTCTACCAGCTCACACATTGCTCATCAAGGAAAGGATGTCCTTGGCTACCTCCCTGGGCAGCTGGCACGAGTCCATGTTGTAAGGAGCTCTCCCAGGTGAGACACCTAACAATTACACTAAAGTTAGAATGACACATTTTTTTTAAACAGGAATCAAACCTACACTAATAAAAGAGAAATATGCAAATTGACCATACCCCCACAACACCCACTAGCCAATCAGGAGTGAGTATGCAAATTAACCCAGCAAAGGTTTTGAGCTAATTTGCATATGAAGGTGCTGGAGTGGCGGTGGGGCAGGAAGCCTGCTATGAGGGGGAGGGTGGGAGGATGGAGGGAGCTACAGGAGTGGTGCTCTGGCTGAGAGCATGGACTTGCAGGCTCCCGGGCAGCCAGTAGCAAAGCCAGGGGAAGGAAGGCCTATTCTTGCACAAATCTTTGTGCAACGGGCCTCTAGTTTTGTAATAACAAAAATGAGTATGAAAACAATATTAATGATTATTATTTGATGAATAGAAAACATTTAGAAGGAAATACACCATACTGTTAACAACAGTTATTTATGAGTAGTGAGATGAATGGTGTTTGTGTTTTATATTTTATTTTCCAGATTTTCTCTAGGGAGCATATATTACTTTTATAGTCAGCAATAAATAAGAATCTTTACTAAATTATCTAAGAAGTATAATCACCATGAGTTTAGAGTTTCACCTTTGTCAAATAATTTAACTTTTCCTGAGTCTGTTCCCTTCGCAGTAAAATTACAAATTTGACCTGAAGGATTTCTGCCTCTGTGGATATAATTTTAACAACAACAAAAAAGATACTTTGATATTACACTCTAGTTTGTAGAGGCTGGAAACCACGGGAGTTAAAAGTAGCAATCTGAGTAACTAACTTTATGAAATGTTTGATCTTGGACAATTTTCATTTGCATCTCCGAGTCTATTTTTTTTACCTGTTAAACAAAATAATTGATATAAAATCCCACAGCATAGCAGGCACTGAAAATATGATTGCTATTATTCTGAGTTCATCTGGCATATTTTACAAACTTCTCTTTTTCTCTTAATCGCCTTTGATATAATCAACTCCTGGTTATCCTCCATGCACAGACAAGGGCACCCTGGCATCCACACAGCAGCACAGAGTCTACACTGAATAGACGGCACCGGAAGTAGTTTTAAGAGGTCAATCAGATCCAATTAGATGAGGAGGACGCAGCCCAGGGAAGGGGCATGTCTTGCTTGAGGTGCAGTTGGGTTAGCCTAAAAGCTGAGACTGGAATCTATCCACATTTTCTGATACCCAGTTCCATATCCTTTGTTCCAACTCAAATACATGCTTGACTCTGAAAAACCAAGGGGAAAAACTAGTGCGAATATCAATCGATTACTTTATTAAGTTTCTAGATAAGAATAAAAGAAGCAAGCCCGACTAGTGTGGCTCAGTGGTTGAGCATTGAGCTATGAACCAGGAGGTCATGGTTCCATTCCAGGTCGGGGCACATGCCCAGGTTGCAGACGCCATCCCCAGTGTGGGTTGTGCAGGAAGTGGTCGATCAATGATTCTCTCTCATCATTTATGTGTCTATATCTCTCTCTCTCCCTCTCCCTTCTTCTTAGATATAGATATAGATATAGATATAGATATAGATATAGATATAGATATATATATATATATATATATATATATATATATATATATATATATTATTATTATTATTTTTTTTTTTTTTAAGAATACAAAGGAAAAGAAAGGCAGGTTGCCTTCTGTGACCTGTGACTGGGACAGAAGGGCTGCAAAGGGAAGGGCAGGGGACTGGAACCCCTGAGCCATCTACTGACAGTTTGTCTGGGACTGGCCTTGACCGACGGAGTCTGGCCAACACTGACCTGGTGGCCTCCTGGCTACGTCCAGGGAATGGATTTCAGCTGATGAGAAAACGGAACTCTTTGCTCTGCCTGGGCGTTCAGCAAGTTGTTGCTGTTTTCATTTAGACCTCTCATAGACGTGGCCATGCCTCCCGAGGAGAAACACCAGTGTCAGCCTCAACTCGACCAACAAACTCTCATCCGATATATTTGTTTTCGAAGACATTCCAAGCCTGCCGAACCATGGTACAAAGAGACCACGTACCAAAAAGACTATTCTCTGCCATTTTACACGTTTGGTAAGTCAAGCCAACTGCTCTTACTCTCTGAGACCAACCCAGCCTGGGCCGCAAGAGAAGCAACTCAGACGGGCTTGCAGTCTCAGCACATCTGGGACCAGCCAAGTTGGGGAGAGGAGGGAGAAGAAGGGGAGGAGGGAGGGGAGGAGGAGGTGTGTGTGTCCCCCTGTAGGAAGAATGGTGAGGTTGGCCCAAGGGCGAATTCCTCCTTTCCTAGCTCCCTGTAGAGACTTCAGGAATGAAGACATACAAATGTCCTCGAGAGGAGGCAGCTCAAGTCTGATCACTCCTCACATATTGTTGTGGAACTCTACTCATTCTCAATATATGTACATTTTTTTATTTTTATTATTATTGATTTCGGAGAGGAAGGGATAGGGGAGAGAGAGATAGAAACATCAAGGATGAGAGAGAATCACTGATCAGCTGTCTCCTGCAGGCCCCCTACTAGGAATTGCAACCAGGCATGTGCCTTGATTAGGAATTGAACCAGTAACCTCTTGGTTCATGAGTTGATGTTCAACAACTGAGCCATCCCAGCTCAGCTTCATTTTATTTTCCAATGACGACTTTCAACCATATGAGCTGTAATTTCACTTTGTCAAATGGTGTGGACATTTTAAAAAATCACTTTCCATGTTCCTTCCACCCCCAATCTGTATCGAATGCTAGTATTTCAGGTTTGATAGAATTCACTGTGGGCATATATATTCACTAAACGGAATGTCACCAGGAAGCCCCCAGAAGTTTGTCGTGTGTCCTGAGACCATTTACTGTTGGATTTGCCTGGCTGACGGTGTATAATTCAGCTCTATTGTAACTTCTACAATGAGGATCTCTATGGCTCCCACTTCTAAACTACTTTGATATAGGTCCCTGGAATACTTGGTAATGTTTAAGGTCAAGAGTTGCTGTTCAACTCCATAGCAAGCCTTGAGAAGTTAAATGGTTATGAATTACATACAGGATCACAGTTAAATGTGATTTTAAAAATCCTCCAGGGAGGGCAGTTCTAGTCATACTCTCTGGGCCAATGAAATGTTATTTGTTCTTAATCTCAAGAAATGTGTGTTTGCTTCAATGCTGTTGAAGTGCTATGGGCGGTGGAATAGAACTGAGAAGAGATTAGGGACTTAGCAGCCTGATATTTCTGGGTCAAATGGGGGCTCCTTTTCTTCCAAGTCCTGTGAATTTGGGCACATTAATTAATCTATTTGAGATGGTGGTAATATAAATGGGCCTTTCAGGGTTACTGTGAATACATGTTAATGTAAGCATAGCACTGTACATATGAAGTCTCGTTACAACACTGTTGTAGAAACACTCTGGTCTTTTTCTTTTTAATGTTTTGTTGTTGTTTTTTATTAATTTTGAGAGAGAGAGAGAGAAGGCAGAGGGAGAGTGATAGCAACATTGATGAGAGAAACATCAATCGGCTGCCCCCTGCATGGCCCTTACTGGAGATTGAGCCTGTAATCCGGTATGTGCCCTGACCAGAAACTGAACCAGTAACCTTTTGATTCATAGGTTGATGACACTTAGCCACACTTCGGTCTTTGACTCATCAAGCATAGGTGCAATGTCAATCGATTACTTTATTAATGATTGCTGTCTTCCACCCACGCCCTCCTTTACATAAGCAGAATCCTTAGTGGTGATAGACAAGAGGCTGTAAGATAGGAGGAATGTCAATGGGTGTGAATTTAGGGATGGCAACAACTGCAGTTTGATACAAAGAACGTGGCCCATTTATAATGGAAAGTTTAAAGGGTTCGGGGGAAATCTAGATTTAGGAAGTCAAAATGCAAACTTGTGATTTATTTTCATTACATTTTTGCAAAACTCAGTATTATGAACAAGAGATTAAGCTACATAAATAATCCTTTGGTCCTAGCTGGTTTGGCTCAGTGGATAGAGCATCAGCCTGCAGAATAACAGGTCCCGGGTTCAATTCCAGTCAAGGGTACATTGCAGGCTCAATCCCCAATTGGGGGTGTGCAGGAGGCAGCCGATCAGTGATTCTCTCATTGATGTTTCTATCTTTCTCTCCCTCTTCTTTCACCTCTAAAATCAATAAAAATATATTAAAAAATAAATAAAATAAAAATAACCCTAAGTCCTTTTTCACATAGCTTTTAAACATGTTCCTTTGTCTAAATCCCATAAGTTTTGTTATTGTATACAATTGCTGTTGAAATGACAGTGAGTTAAAATTTAGGAGTAGTCCTAAAGTAAATAATTAATTTGTTTTAAATTCCAGATTGGGACCGGAAATTAGGCACAGTTTTATCGAATCGTCGACCAATCAACTCACTGCCAGAGTTCTACTGTTGTAAAGACAGGTGGCACTGAAATAAAAGCTTTAAACCAAAATAGCTATGGCGTCTGAAAATAACAATATTTGGCGTTCTTAGGTGACTCTTTTAGACTAAAACCATGATAACAGACCTACTTTTTCTTTTTAATACATTTTTATTGATTTCAGAGAGGAAAGGAGGGGGAGAGAGAGATAGAAACATCATGAGAGAATCACTGATTGGCTGCCTCCTGGGCAGGTGCCCTGATGGGGAATTGAACCGTGACCTCCTGGTTTATAGGTTGAAGCTCAACCACTGAGCCACGCTGGCCGGGCAGAACTACTTTTAATTTCCGTGTGTATCCCAATGGTTAGAATCCTAAAATATTTACATGGTGCAAGTTCTTTCCAGATCAAGTTGGTCATCCCAGGGCAGGGAATCAACACCCAGCCCCACTACCAGTCTTGCAGCCGGTGCTGGTGAGCTGTCTTACATTTGGTCCAGTGGTTCCACGTGGGGCCAGGTAAGAAGATAATTGCATCTGCTCGATAACTGCATCCCTGAGAAGGAAAAAAGAACTGGGGATGGGGACAAGGAGGGAGGCCCTGGAGGTGCTTGGGATGCAGAAACCCAGGTAAGGCACAGGACTGCAGTGAGATGTGAGATGGGGAAAGGGAGAGGGAGGAGAACTGTGAGCAGAGTCACCATTCCTGCCCTAACCGGTTTGACTCAGAGATCGAGTGTCGGCCTGTGGACCTCGGACCTCGGGTTCCATTCCGGCCAAGGGCACATGTCCCGGTTGCAGGCTTGATCCCCAGTAGGGGACGTGCTGGAGGCAGCCAATGATTCTCTCATCGATGTTTCTATCTTTCTCTCCCTCTCCCTTCCTCTCTGAAATCAATGAACACATGTATAATAATAAAAGCATAATATGCTAATTAGACCGAATGTCCTTCCAGGCGCCCTTCTGGAGGGAAGCCCCTGTCCTGGGAGCCAGAGGGAAGCAGCTGGGGGAAGGAAGATCTATTCTTGCATGAATTTCATGCACTGGGCCTCTAGTACCGTATTTTCTGGTGTATAAGACGACTTTTGAAACAAAAAAAAGTCTACTGAAAATCAGGGGCAAAAGACCAAAATTGCACAAAAATTACCTGCAGATCTTGACAGCAAAGTAAGTCTTTTCTTTGAAGTGGGGGGTAGTCTTATACAGCGAATATAGGCCTAAACCTATGTTTTAACTGTAAAATTAGGGGGTTGACTTATATGCCGGAAAATACGGTATTTAACATAAGAGTTACCACTCCTCTCCTTGGGAGAAAGTTGACAACTAGGCATCAAGTCCCCAGGCCAAGAGCTAGCGGTTCTTCTCTAAGCAATTAAATCCCAAAGTAAAGACTCCTACCGCCTGGCCCCTGAGACTCCCCATCATACTAATTGGTTCCCAACTCAATACCCCAAAGTGAAGCCTACCAGTCAAAAGCTTCCCCCAAGAACGGATTCATGTAGCTTTGCATTGTCTCAGTCTCAGTTGTAAAGAGCCAACCAAGGGTCACTGGAGTTTAAAAAAAAAGAGTAACACTTTTTGGGTAAAAATTTAGTACACTCCTGACTCAAAGATGGGTTATTTCTGTCTGCTTCTGGACCATTGCTGAAAATGTTTCAGTACGGTAATGCTTGCAGCCAGGTAAGAATGTGCCCAGTCGGTGTGGCTCAGTGGTTGAGTGTTGTCCTATGAACCAGGTGGTCACGGTTCAACTCCCAGTCAGGGCACATGCCAAGTTACAGGCTCCATTCCGTGCAGGAGGCAGCCGATCAATGATTCTCTCTCTTAGTTGTTATTTCTATCTTTCTCCTGTCCTCTCTGAAATCAATAAAAATATATTTAAACTAACAAAAGACATGCTTACTTCTAATGGAGCTTACATCTCTGGGCAGCTAATCTAATTTAAAGTCCAAGTAGGAAGATGAAAAAAAGCAAGAATAAATAAAAGCCAAGTCAACTTCCATTAGAATAAGTAAACTTTAGTTATTATGTACCAAGTATAAATTATTATTTTATATAAAGATCATTACTGATCAGCAGTGAGCTTTGTAAGATTATCTGTATTATCCTTCTTATTTATTAAATCCAACAAGACTGCACTTATTTTAATACTTTTCCTGAACTAAGTATTAATAAAAAATATATCTATTATAGTGTAGATAAATTGTATTTAAGTGTTTTCAAAGATTCTGTCTTGCTCTCTCCCCACCTTATCCCCCCACACAGCAGGGATAAAACTCCTTCTTATATACTCTAATATTACCACAACTTCTCTTGCCAAAACAAAAACACAATGCAAGTATACTAGAAATATCTGGTTCTTTTTAATCAGCTATTGATGGAATAATAAAATAAATTTAAGTGGCACCTAATTTAACATTCAAGATAGTTCACTGAAGGATAATCTACAACACAATATGTGAAGCCGAATGCTTAAAATAACACCTCTTTTTTATTTTTTTCCCCCCAAGAAAAGAGAAATAAAGGCATGACCAACAATTGGGGTTCATTTGGACACTCGCAGATGATTTTGTAGGCATACTGGCAGGCACAATGTTGAAAAAACAATGCACTAAATTAAAAAATAATGGTAAGATAAAACAGGAAACCAATTCATTCCAGATTTAATATCACAATAGATCTTTTAATGACTATTTTTTAACATTAAGAGTACTGTATTAGTGAACACCTTATCTCTTTGAACATTTGTTCAATGTATTAAATAATTTATAGAGAGAAATAAGTTTTGTGTTCTGTACAAATTAAAGGACCCATGAATATATCACCCTCCCCCCGCCAAAGCTCGAATTCGCAATGGTCTTAGCAGAAAATAAACAGTTCACAATTTAAACAGAATTCATAGCATTACAAAAGTTTACAGAACTCCTCTCTTATCCTTTTTGTTCTAACAGCAAAGGTTACAATGACAGAACTGAAAAATCAGAATGTAAAAATATTTGTGCAAAACTGCATTAATTGTTCTTACCATTTAATAGAGGTAAACCTATGAACACACAAGGACGATAATAAAGAAAAACCACATTGAAAGTCATTCTAGTTTGGGTTTCAAACAACATGGATTATACTATTACTAAACACGAAAGAAAACGTGGCACCATGAGCAGCAGGAGCAACAGATGATTTCGGCAACTGTGCCAGCCAAGGCCGTTGACACTGGAATATGCCGAAGCTTACCTCCACACCAGCCAGCCATCTTAAAGACTGGAAACAGCTATAGAGCTTACAATGCACGTCAATGTCTTTATTCTTGAAGTTTGCAGATCATAATGACATAGTGAAGCAAGTCCTTTGTCCCCTTCTCAAGGAGTGTTTCTTGGGTGACTGGAAATCCTTAGAAGAGTTGAATCATAGACTCTCTGGACTTCCCTACACCAATCCACTTAACTGAGAGAGGAACATAAAGTATAAGAATTGTATTAATTCGTTTATAATGTTGAATCTTTGGAATAAGAGACTCCCCTTCTTTCCTCCACCCCACCCCAATTTTCTCATTGTCACCACATAACTTTGCCCTAAGTGACTTTTGTTCCCTTTTGTTCTGTTCTGTAGCAGATGGTGCCAATTTCTAAACCATTAGAGTACGCAGGTGAGATCCAGCACAGAGTAGTTTGCTTTACCAGTTCCTGTTTTAATGCACAGTATTTACAATTCCTCACTTCCTAATAATTAGGATAAAAAATATCGGCCCAACCAGCAGAGACCTAAAGAACCTTTGGTTAAGTTCCTAATAACTAGAAAAGATAAGCCCCTTTGATGAATGGATGATGCTAAGATGATACTGAGGTGTCACAGTACCTTTTATATCTCATAAGAGTAGAACTTTCTAGAAGAGAACACTGTGTTAACTTGCACGGCCTTAGGAGTTGCCTACTGTACCAGCCTATTGGCATCTCTGATCATCTGCACCTCCTGGGCAAATCTTATGAATTTTACAGAACCCACTGTTAAATTCATTGTTTATATTTCAAACAATGTTGACTAAAGGGTGAGTTGACTGAATTTGACAAACTGGAAGGAGCAGGTAGCAATATAGAAAACATAATTCATGTTTGAGATGAAAAATCAGAATAGATTATACGGAGGTTACCTCCCCCCACTTCACTTCCTATCTCTCAGATCCCATCAGTGCAAATAAAAGAGGAAAGCCACATGGTAAAGCAAAGACCTCACATAGCTAGTCACGGCCATAACCTGGTCATGCCTAATCCTCTGGCCAGCTGACATGTTTTTCTTCTCTATTCTTCTCTTACATTTTTTTCAAACTAGAGTTCCTATCTTCTGTACCTATTATTTCCTAATGTCTAGTCAGGAAACTCCTCCAATTCTCAATGGTGGGTTAACTCCAAATGAAAAAAATCACACATTGCCGAAACCAATTTGGCTCAGTGGATAGAGCATCTGTCTGTGGATTGAGGGGTCCCAGGTTCGATTCCAATCAAGGGCATGTACCTTGGTTGCGGGCACATCCCCGGTAGAGAGTGTGTAGGAGGCAGCTGGTCAATGTTTCTCTCTCATCAATGTTTCTAGCTCTCTATCCCTCTCTTCTTCTCTGTAAAAAATCAATAAAATATATATTTTTAAAAATTAAAAATAAAATAAATATAAGGTGGTATTAAAAAAAACAAAACAACAAACAAACAAACAATAACAACAACAACAAAACACCGCACTATTTTGGTGGTAATGAAGACACAAAAGGAGGTGATTTAAGAGGGAGAAGGAAACAAGAATCAATGTCATAGGGTGAAAAGCAGGCTAACAGAATTAAGACAGGATAAAAAATGGTGAGAGGAATATATTGTCTTCAGGCACATGAAGGATTAGAGAAAGATGGTTATATTTACTCTAAAGAATAAATTTCTTTCATTTCTTCCTGGGCATCTATACAAATCACAAGTGCTCTATGGATAATAATCTTTTTTCCTATTTCAAAGGTAACAGTCCAGTCAAAAGTAGAGAAAGCAAAGACAGTTGTTCGTAACTTTCTATTTACCTGGAATCTGAAGCTCATCTTCAATAAATCGGACGTAATTTTGCGCATTCACAGGCAGCTCTTTGAACGTCCTTGCATTTGATATGTCTGTGTTCCATCCGGGAAGAGTCTTATATTGAACTTCAACTTTATTTAAGATCTCTTGGTTTGCTGCGAGTTAAAGAGCAAGTGTATTAGTTCAACAACGTTTTGGTATCTCATAGGTTCACAATCTCTTATTAAAATCTTTGAAGCCAGATGCGCTTTGCAATTAGAAATTTTCAGAGGTTAGAAAGAAAAAACAGTGCACCTGGGGTGGAGTTTTATGACCAAGCATATTTCTACAGCAACACAGGATTATGCTCTGTAAGCAGATGGATTAGTGGTTTCAACACCAGGATCTGTGGAATGTCCGCAGGCTCCCGGAAAGAAGGCTCCCCTTGTTCTCATCCAGGAAGGTCATTGCTTCTGTGACTGTGTGCCAAAGCTTAGCACACATTCCTTTATTCGTCTCACCAACCTACTGTCTCTGCATCCCCTAGGACAGTGGTCGGCAAACTATGGCTCGTGACTAGTGAGTTTGCCGACCACTGCCCTAGGAGAAGCTGGAAATGGACTGGTCCAGACCAGTTCTTTGGACCAGAGATCATACGGTGGATGCCAAACCATGTACAGATCCCCCTAGGGCTGGCACAGCCATGCCCTCATGTGGGAGCACTGCCTGCACAGAGCACCCTGGTCAGGATGCCCCCTGCAATGCCTCCACCGAAGCGAGCTGCCCGCTTCCCAATGGCTTCCTGCGTGAGGATGCCCAGGACCAGGCCACTTACTAATCTGGGACAACTCTGAAGGCTCATCCATGGGACCAGCTGAGGGCTTTTTATGAAGCTACTTTGCAGTTCAACTTCTCCCTCTGCCTACGCCTGCTTCTCTCACTCTCTCCCAGACACTGCTGCTCAGAGCACTTACGAATAAACCACCTGTATGCGAAGTCTCTGTATCAAGTCTGTTTCCCAGGGAATGCAATGTAAGGCAGTTGGTGCCGGGAGTGGAGTGAGGAAGAAGGCTCTAAAACGGGGTCCTGGAGCTGGACCATGGCCAGCTGGCTGGCAGAGAGGTCCATCAGTGGTGTCAGGCAGAGCACGGGCAGTCTCTGGCATGTTGCAGTTATTAAAACTTTCATAAGAGGAGACTGGGAATGCCCTCCCTGCTGGTGCAGAGCACAGCGCTGGCAGTATCTGAAGCACTGGGAAATAAGCACATGGTAACCAAGGATCGGATGGCTCTCAATGAACTGGAGAAAGACAATGAAAGATTGTCTTTCATTGGCTTCAGGCAAGTGTGAAAGGCAGGGCCTCCGGCAGCAGATTCTAAGGAGAATCTCATCTCCCACAGCAGAGGGCAGGAAAGCTGAGGCTCAGGCACTGGCCTCGGTCACACAGACAGCAGAGCTCCAGAGAAAGGTGAGTTCTCCAATCCAGCAAATCTGCTGTGACAAGGCCAGGGCCCTTATTTGGGGGGAAATGGGACCCTGAGACTTTGGAGGGGACACCTGAGCTGATGCACAGAGAAACCCTGAGTCCCTAGATTTGCTGGTGGCCTGCAGAATGGCCTACTATAATACTTCGTGGGCTCATCATGTAACTGCACCAACAAAGCATAAAACCAGGGCTAAATAAGTTCAAGATGATCAGCCAGTAATTTAATTGTTCCCTAAAACAAAAGCCAATATGCTTCAGAGGAAGATAGCAGAATCTGAGCCTCTTAAATATATTCAGACATAGAAACAGTGACTCAGAGTCAAGGGAAAGAATGGCCAAGAGAAGCCAAACTGTGGATGGCCCAGAAGTCGGACTAATAGACAATGATGTCACAGTGACGTCACACGTTTCAAAGAACTAGCAGGTAGCCTCAGTTCCCATTGACTGGCCATTAGCAAGTCACAAAAACCTACCAGTCCACCAAGCTTCACTGAGCTGGTCAATGTGCTTTCATTTGGCATATCCCCAGTCTTACAGGATGGCTAAACAAATGACCAGTTCCTACTTTTGGAAGCTGGAAACATTTCCAGAGCTTCCTGAGTAACTGAGGAAATCATTTAACTGAAGGTAAGTCTGAAAAAACACATTTCTTCATGTAGAAAGTCTCCCTACAGCCATCCATGTTAGACAGGTTAGCGGTTAGAGAAACGTGGCTTGAATGACAAGATGGCTTAATGTAGGAAGGACCTGCCGAGCCTGACAAGCAGGGCTCTTTCCTCCTACCTCACATTTCACAAGGGATGAAGGAATGCCTACATCGATTAAGAAAGGTGAGATTCAGCCGAAACCGGTTTGGCTCAATGGATAGAGCGTCAACTTGGGGACTGAAGGGTCCCGGGTTCGATTCCGGTCAAGGGCATGTATCTTGGTTGCGAGCACATCCCCAGTGTGGGGAGTGTAGAAGGCAGCTGATCGATGCTTCTCTCTCATCGATGTTTCTAACTCTCTATCCCTCTCCATTCCTCTCTGTAAAAAATCAATAAAAAAATATTAAAAAAAAAAAAAGAAAAAAAGAAAAGAAAGGTGAGATTCAGGGGCAGCATAGCTGGGCTCAAAAATAACATGTTTCTTTCTTCATTCCTATGTTTTATTCTGCTTGCAGCAATCCAGCACCCAAATGTATAGCAATTATGCAACAAATGCCAATACTAAGTGAATGTACTGGCCCTGTTCACAAGGGCATAATAACCATGTGGCTATATATCATAAATCATACAGAAAAGCTTTAGGAAACTGCTCTAATATATTCACCCAAAAATATTCTTTATACATAGCTTAAAAAAAAAATACCTGGGAAATGAGGTATAATTTCACCATCTAACTTGTAAGCAACTCCAACTTTAATTTCTGTAAACGTGTCCAAAATATCCAATTTGGTAAGTGCCAACCTAATTTTGGGAGAAAAGACAATGTTAAAACAGCAAATTCTTAAAGGCTCTAACATCTAACATGATGAGGGATAAAGGAAAATTCATACAAAGCTAAGAAGCTCCAGCCAGTGTGGCTCAGTGGTTGAGTGTCCACCCATGAACCAGAAGTCAGGGTGTGATTCCCAATCAGGGCACATACCCGGGCTGCAGGTTGGAACCCCAGTGTGAGAGAAATATGCAAGAGGCAGCCAATCAATGATTCTTTCATCATTGATGTTTCTATCTCTCTCTTCCTCTCTAAAATCAATAAAAACATATATTTTTTTTTTTAAAGCTAAATGCTCCAAAGCAATTCTGAAAACTAATTAGGAATTTGTTTTAAAATATGATACACATAAAACACAACAGGACAACATACTGATGAATTCTCATAATAAAAAAAACGACTTAATTGCCAAAACAGGTTTAGCTCAGTGGATAGAGCGTCGGCCTGCGAACTCAAGGGTCCCAGATTCAATTCCAATCAGGGGCATGTATCTTGGTTGCAGGCACATCCCCAGTGGGGGGTGTGCAGGAGTCGGCTGATTGATGTGTCTCTCTCATTGAGGTTTCTAGCTCTCTATCCCTCTCCTTCCTCTCTGTAAAAAGTCAATAAAATTTTTTTTTTTAAATGACTTAATCTACTAGTGTAAGTTACTCGTCTTATAATGAAAACAGATTTTCACTGATTCACCCACACCCTCTTCTTTAGCTTTCTTATGATCACCACATATTTGTGGGCCGGCTGTCTGGGGCACAGGACACATTCTGTGGCCGTGGGACAGCGGGCCTCACTGTTCCACAGGGCTGACCACAAGATGCATGCATATTCACACCTATGCCAGCAGCCCTCATTTCCTCACTCTGATACAGTCCCCTCCACCCCTCCGGTCAGACACTGTCAAAGGAGGCTGAGGAAAACACATCAAGGACTCTTCCTGACACATCAACTCTCTCCCCCCAAAAAACCGGAAAACAGAACTTTAAGGGGGAATTTGTGGCAATCAGATACAACACCAGGTTTGGGCAGGCAATACTATTATCTAGATCACATGTGTCAAACACAAGGCCCGCGGGCCAAATCCGTCCCGCCAGGCCTTGCAATGTGGCCCGCACCACGCTGTCATCACTGCACTCCGCTGCATTTCCATCACAATGACAGTTTATGACTGTTCAGTAAACCGTTCGGCCCGCGATTTAGGCTGGATTTTAGATTTTGGCCCCTTCTCTGATTGAGTTCGACACCCCTAATCTAGATGATTAAAAAGGAAAACAGATCCTGGCCAGTTTTGCTCAGTGGATAGAGCATCAGCCTGCGAACTGAAGGGTCCCAGGTTTGATTCCAGTCAAGGGCATGTACCTTGGTTGCAGGCACATCCCCAGTAGGGGGTGTCCAGGAGGCAGCTGATTGATGTTTCTCTCTCATCAATGTTTCTATCTCTCTTCTTTCCTCTCTGTAAAAAAAAACAAAAAAAAAACACACAAAAATAAAAACAAAAAAACAATAAAATATAAATAAATAAAAAGAAAAAGAAAAAAAGCACAGAAGAAATAACGAGCCCAAGGTCACACAGCACAATGCACAGATCTGAAGTTTAAATCCAAAAGTCAGACGTCAATCAAGCCCATGCACAAAATCACTGTGGTATGTCCTCCGCTAAGTATCTATACCCCACCCTTGCACTCCTTACTATCTACTCACCTACCCACCTGCACTTCCCTCTGTACTATACCCATGTAAGAGTATTATGATTCTTTCCTTCCAACCTTGGACGTTCAGGAAGATCGCCTGGGGTCCCTCTCCTTGCTTCCCTTCTCTTATATGTTGGTCCACTTCTACCTTGAACTAAAACTTCACAGCTTAAAGAGAGAATCTTGTGTATTGGGGTACTGCCTGAAGTTTACATTTCGAAAATTTAACCTGTGGTCATGAATTATCCCATTATTTCCTGAAATGAATGTTTCTAAGAAAACTCACGCAGTAAATCCGTTAATCATATGAGCATATTTAAGCAACACGAGATCCAACCAGCCACATCTTCTTTTCCTTCCAGTAGTCACACCAACCTCTCTACCCCGTGTCTGCAATAATTCTCCAATTTCCTAGGGGACAGGAAATAGAGCTTCATCATTAGGATACCACTGCTGTCCATCTAGAACAATTATACTTAAGGTCAGACAAGAGTCTCTTTGAGATAAATATCTTCCAGAAAATAATTACCGTATTTTTCGGACCATAAGACGCACTCCCTTCCCCCCCCCCCCTCCCCGCCCAGAAGTGGGGGGAAAAAGTCCCTGCATCTTATGGTCCAAATATAGCCTACACATATACTTTAAAAAAAAGTTTTTTTACTTGCCCGGCTCTGTGTGGTTTCTGTGTGCTTGCCTGGCTCTAAAATGGTTCTAAATGCTGCTGTTTACTTTACAGGGTTGATTACATGTGTTTATGACTGTGATGTTGGGTTTTAATGCACATAAAATATTTTAGGACACTATTTGTTTCAGAATCTTTTTTTCTTCATTTCCCTTCTCTAAAAACTGGTGCGTCTTATGGTCCGGAGCGTCTTATGGTCCGAAAAATACAGTTAGTTGAAGACAATTCTATAGAGATGATGGATTGTATGTGAAGGAGGCATTATTTGGAATAGATCCAATTTTGGCTTCATTTTTCACCTTATTTTAAAACCAATACTTTTTTTATGATGTAATATATTAAATAGATTGCTTCCCAAAATTTAGGTTAATATATAAAAAATATATAAATGCTGATTGGTATATTAAAACAAGTCAAGCCCTAGCTGGTTTGGCTCAGTGGATAGGGCATCAGTGTGCAGACTGAAGGGTCCAGGATTTGATTGCAGTCAAGGGCACATGCCTGAATTGTGGGCTTAATCCCCAATGGGGGGCGTGCAGGAGGCAGCCCGTCAATGATTCTCTCTTATCATTGATGCTTCTGTCTCTCTCTCCTTCTCCCTTCCTCTCTGAAATCAATAAAAATATTTTTTTTTAAAAACAAGTCAATTGTCCAAAGAAGAACTATAGCTTGATGATTTTCCTCAAAACCATAAGGCAGCAAACTTGCATCTAATAAGTACTTGCTGATATAACAATGCTCTTTTGGAGACAATTAAAGTTGAAAATGATGCTCAAGTTACACTTCCTACAACCTACCTTTCCCATCTCTTATCTCTCTATTCCATAATTTACACCTTTCTGATTAGAGTCATCATTTCTTACCTCTTATATTTTGACATTATTACAGTTATGTATTTTTAAGATGTTTGCTCTGTCATGTTGGATTCCCAGCCCTGTTTGCGTGGCCTGGAGCAAGTTACTTTAGTCCTCTGTGCCTCAGTTTCCTACTTTGTACAATGGGGAAGGAGGTATTCTGAGGATCCAAAGAGCTTATAGGCATAGAGCACTTAGCAGTGCCTGGCCCAGGTCACCCCCATGCTGCTGGCTATGAGCAGACAATGTCCGGAGATCATTTCCCTCATCCCTGTCTCCTACTGAGCTTTTGGTGTCATTTTAACAACTTCTTCCACCTCCCCTATCTCAACGCCCTTCATAATCCCGCCTTCCATCAGCCTCGCAATGACAATACCTTTAAGTACCCTCTAATCCCCCCTTTTTTGCTGCCATTAACGATAAATGTGTGCATACATTTTTCATAATGTTGTTCTGATCAGTCTTGCAAATTAAATGAAATGCATGGAAAGTAAGAATTCATTAAGGGGAAAAAGCATGAATTTCTCTTATAAAACTTTCGAATTAGATTCTCTGAGAAAGAGGCTTACGTTGCTTTGCTCTGTAGGAAAGGCACCGATACCAACTCGAGTGGTGTAAGCTTTCACAACTCCATACACTTCTCCAACGTTCTGAGGGGGCATACCCAACCCAGTGCAAACACCTCCAACTGTACAGTTTGAGGAGGTCACAAAGGGATAAGTTCCTAAAAAGAGACACAAATATTAATTATACACACATAGGTACAAATTCTTTTAAAACAGAATTGCTATGAAGATTCTGCACTGGATTATATTCTAGGTCTTTGACAAACTTGAATCTAGCTGTAACCACTCTCCCAGAGCCTCAGTGTTTTGGTCCTGAGTCCTGACTGTAATGAGATAAAAGCATAGGTCAGAGCTATGCCTGTAGCGCGTACACTGGAGTGGCTCCGTGACGCACGGGCTTACTCAGCTCTGGAGGGTAGATAGTCACCTAACGGACTGCTAAATAATGCAATGACGAAACCCTGGTGTTAATCTACCATGTAGACTTATAATCGATGTACTTGGACACTCTCCTTTTGGTTTAAAACAAATTTATTTTACTCCCTTTATTAAATAGAGTACAGCAGCAACCTGCAGTGACAACAGTAGAAAAACTGTATGGTATTTTAGCATTTTCCTCTCTTTTGATGTCTATTCCAGGAATAATCTCAGAAATGACAAGAGTAAGTGAAGAGTGATATGCCCCCAACCCAAGATCCTTTTCATACTTAAAATTATTCACTATGCTAATTAGACAATCTGTTTTCTTTTGGAAAACAGAAAGGCCAGTGGTCGGCAAACTCATTAGTCAACAGAGCCAAGTATCAAGAGTACAACGATTGAAATTTCTTTTGAGAGCCAAATTTTTTAAACTTAAACTTCTTCTAATGCTGTTTCTTCAACAGACTCGCCTAGGCCATGGTATTTTGTGGAAGAGACACACTCAAGGGGCCAAAGAGCTGCAGTGGCTCGAGAGCCACAGTTTGCCAACCACTGTTCCAAAGCATTCATCTGATCATCTTACAGTCCTACGGAAGTGAGGTCTGGAATTGGCCCATGAACCAAATACTAATAAATTCAGTTTACAGAATTTCAAATCTACTGACCCAAATATTAATTTGACTTTTCTAATAAATAACAAAACTTAATCTATGTATTGTGTTTTCCACGGTAATCCTTAAAAAAAATAAAAAAGATTAGCATAAGATGATAATCTTCCACCACTCCTGAATATGTAGACAAGCTAACAGCCTTGTTTTAAAACCCCTTAATGCTAACATGAATTATTTATATCTTAAGCACTTTAAGGCTCAGTCTTGCTCCCCCTAAGTCATATCTCACTTACCAAAATCGATATCCAGAAGTGCTGCATTTGCACCTTCTACCAAGATTTTCTTTGGTGGTCCATGTAGGGCCTCATATAAAAAATACACTCCGTCTTTCACCATTGGTTTAATTCTTTCCATATAACCCTATATACAAAGACAAAAACCAATTCCAATGTACACTAATACATTTACAATATGACCAATATGAGTGAAAATTCCTTGACTTGCCCTAACCAATTTGGCTCAGTGGACAGAGCATCGGCCTGCGGACTGAAGGGTCCCAGATTCAGTTCCGGTCAAGGTCATGTACCTTGGTTGCAGGCACATCCCCAGTGGGAGTGTGCAGGACACAGCTGATTGATGTTTCTCTCTCATCGATGTTTCTAACTCTCTATCCCTCTCCCTTCCTCTCTAGTAAAAAAAAAAAACAATTAAAAAAAACTTTTTTAATTCCTTGACTTGACAACAGTGGAAAGGCCAAGTAGAAAGGGGCAGGTGACGGTGCCCATCCTACCGCAGCACTGGGGTTACCTCCGGTCTCTCGTGCTGACCCCCAGGACCAGGAGAGAGACACCTGCTCAACAGCAGCAGAGATACAATGACATCCAAAGCTAACCTCACTGCAAATAAGGTGACAGCTTCTGAGCAGCCACGTGCTCACAATTCATAAACCAGCTTTCAAGAAAATGAAAACAATAGAGTATATTACATTGCGATTTTACATTTTGTGACGTATTTAATAATCTGTAAGCCATGTAACCATGAGTTTTAAAACTGGCATCTCAAAATGTGGTGAGGGCCACCAGTGGCACTGCCAAGCATGCAAACATCAATAATTGATTGCTAATGTTCTTCTTCCATTAGATTCCATTACCGTACAATCTCAGTGGTATTATTAGTAGACAATATCCAGTACTATTTTACACGTGAGCATTATAAAACTTTCTCAAAACATATTTATGTTAATAATACTGCTTAATTTTAGAATTCCATTAAAAATGTAGTATAAACAAGAGTTGCCCCACTGCCTATGGTATAAAGTATAACTGCAATAAAATCCAGTTTCAACTATGTTAAATATTTCGCCAGACTAGTATGGAAGTTCCAACTTCCATTCATGAATTCACCAAAGTGCACTCTATCCACTGCTGAAAAATCATGGTCCCTCTTCTTGGCTCTAGTCTCCAGTCTCATGCTCATTCCTGTTTTAGTCTTTTTTATAATGCCTAAAATGACCAACCCATCCATCCCTTGTTCCTTAAAGACCTGGTTCAACATATATTACCTATGAAGAACCTTCTTACTCAATTCTGTTCATTATATTCATCTACTTTTCATTCACATGGAACGTGTATAAAATAGAATTGAAAAGCCATATCCATATTTTAGTACATAAATATTTCCATGTTGCTAATTATGCATAAGCGCCATGTCAGGCTAGGTGCTTAACACGTTAAAACAATTGTTGTATGGCAGAATTGAAAGGAAATGGCGATCTCGTCTAAGCAACCATCAGTACACTGAAATCATATTTAGACTGTTCCTTGGAGGTCTTTTATTTTTTAGGATTTTAGTAAGGGGAGAGATCTAAGGTCTGCAACCGTTTTAGAATGGCACATGAAGTTGGAAAGCTTCTATTCAGTTCTGGAGTGGATATTTATACTTATTTATAGAAGAGAAGGAATAACAGTCAGATTCACGGGAAGCAGCTTGAAATTCACCAAGAATTGTGGAGGAATGGAGGGTGGAGCATATAGGAGACTTGACTAATGACTAATTCAGGCACCACTGACAACTAACAGCTGCCAACTGGGCCTAACCTTTGGCCAATTACCCTACTGGTCTCTGAAGAGAATGTCGCTGTCTGTTATCACTTCTAAAGGAGCTGGTTAGTTTCCAGAGCTGTCTACTTGTCCCTTTGTTCATGAGCCTCCACATTGCTATGAGTGATTTTATATAATAGAAATCGTCTTTATTCAGCACAAAATTATTCAGTAGTTTTTCATTATCTCCAGAATAAAAGCTTATCTCCCATTTACGTGCTTGGCCAAAGCCACATAAGAAAATATAAGACCTACGATTTGGTTCCTACTTGTCTAACTTTATTTTCAGGTAGTTTACCCCTATTCTCTGCTCCCCACTCAATATTTTGTTTCATGTCCTATGCTACTCAAGCATACCATTCCTTTTAGCCTGCATGCTTTTAGGTTTAAAAAGGGCAAACACTTTGCTTTCCCAGTTTTTATCTATAATACTTCACACATATCTGTGTGGCACTTATTATACTACAAACTATTTTATCTATAACTTCTAAGTCTCCATATATTCTTCATCCTTATATTTCCAGTCCCTAACACAAAACCTGAATGAATGAAAGTTCTAGATACCAATTTGGCAAACAGGTTTTTAAAAGGACATTAAAAAGGTCAGAAAGCATTACCTTGAGCTTTTGTAATTCACCTTCAATGTCTATTTCCAAAGTGGGGTATATAGATTTGTACTGGTTTGCCAGAACTTTGAACCTGAGAAATATAAAAAAATCAAGACATTGGCTCTCTTTCAAATAGTCTGAGTAATATCATTTTATTCAAATGGTTCCTGTCAATGAGTGATCTAACAAATTAACCCTCAAAATGAAGTATGTTCTGAAAAATAAAATCTAATAAAGGAAATTAGTCATATGAATAAATGATACACTCTTAAGATTTTTTACTCAAGTTTAGGTATATGTAGGGGGGAAAATAGCTGAAATCTGTAACTATAAGACTTATATCTGAATTAATTATATTATACTGTGTTTAAAACAAAAGTGACTGAATGATTGAGCAATGACCTATGAATCAGGTGGTCAAGGTTCGATTCCCGGTCAGGGCACATGCCCAGATCGTGGGCTCCATCCCCAGCAGAGGGCATGCAGGAGGCAGACAATCAATGTTTCTCTCTCATCACTGATGTTTCTATCTTTCTCTCCCAACCAATAAAAATATATTTTAAAAGTAAACAAATAAAATAAAAGGGATGGTGTACATGACACTTTTAACAGAGAAGGAGGCAGACATTATCAATCAGCCCGTAATATCCTCGGTGGAGATGCACTGACAGTGCAGACAAACCACTGTCTGGAAATTATGCCTCTGAGGTCACCTATCATTAAATGCAACCAAGTAACCCCCATCCCGGAACCACCATCTGGCTTTCCTTAAACATAATTCTGGTTTTGTCTTCTTGGGAGTGCTGCTATGATAGCATCATGTCACTTTTCACAAAGTTCATCTGAAATTAAGGGCCAATGAAAATGCAATAAAAATGACTTTAACAATGCTCTAGATTAGGGGTGTCGAACTCAATCAGAGAAGGGGCCAAAATCTAAAATCCAGCCTAAATTGCAGGCCGAATGGTTTACTGAACAGTCATAAACTGTCATTGTGATGGAAACGCAGCGGAGTGCAGTGATGACAGCGCGGTTTGGGCCACATTGCAAGGCCTGGCGGGACGGATTTGGCCCGCGGGCCTTGTGTTTGACACATGTGCTCTAGATAAAACAAACATGCCAGCCACTGTCCAAGTAGCATACTGGTTTACCAGTCTGCAATGTGAGTTTTAAAAATCCTCCCATTCCATTTGCTCTTCCCATGGTGAAGCCCAAGGCAGTTACCTCTCAGAGAAGCCGTCGAAATCGGAAACGAGGTCGCACATCCTGAGGCCGCTCCGAGAAGCTTTGGAAGAATATACGGGGCCTATGCCCTTTTTGGTGGTCCCCAAACTTTAAAATAAACCCAAACAAACTTTCAGTTAGACAAGATGCAATTCTTACGGCCAGGTGGACTGTTTTCTGTGTATGCTATTTCCTGTACGTTTCTTCTCACAACCCTATTGATGTTCTCTGAAATCTAAACTATTTTTCTCCAACCTACATTTATATTATATAAAAGCTTAAAGGGAACCTGCACGGTTGGCCTAGAAATTAAGCATAAGGGTGTGGATATGCTTCAGCTGCACCAAGAACAAAAAAACAAAGAAAAAAACCCATACTTCTTTCCTGCTTGTTCTTGTCTCTGCTGCTCCTGGATGCCATCAGCTGCTTGATGAAAATCAAACACTGCAGAGAAACAAAACAAGAGCAGTTTTGTTGAAGCAAAGATGACACAGAAAAGCAAAACAGATTGTATTTTAAATGACCGAGGCTATAAATCCTTTCAGTCCAACTTCATTATGAGAAATGAGGTTCATTTTAAGCAGCAACAATAATGGTGGGAGTAAAGGTTCCAACGCCAACTGGTATGTTAATATAAAAATGTCTGATCGTACATTCCTATTTATTGCAATCTATATGATTTAAAAAATGAAGAGGGTTGTTTTGGAAAACCCTACCCAATAATTTTATGAAGCTCAGATTACTAACGTATCTTCTTTTCGTCAAGTTCTGGGCTACAGAAATCTAGGGATTATTTTGACATCTCCCTCTCCCTCACTAGTCCCAATCCTCCCTCATCTTTCACCAAAACTGTGGCCTCCTAATGAGCGTACCTATTTCCTCTGGGACACCTCTAATTCACAATTTTTATGTAGCCAAAGCCAGCTTTCCAAGACACAGATATGGTGTCAGCATTCCTTTGCCTTAATTCAATGGCTTTCTATTGCTGAAAAAAATGATGTATCTGATAAAGGTTTAAACATCTAAAATATACAGAAAATAAAAAAATTTTTAAAGAAAATAAAAGAAAAATACATAAAGAACTCTTACAACTCAACAGCAGAAAAATAAACAATCTGGTTAAAAACTGGGCAGAAGACCTGAATAGACATATCTCTAAACAAGACACCAGTGGCCCATTGACGTATGAAAAGATGTTTAGCATCACTGATCATCAGGAAAATGCAAATCAAAGCCACGTGAGCTATCACCTCACACCTATTAGAATGACCATCACCAAAAAGGCAACAAATACCAAGTGCTGGGGAGGGTGTGGAGATAAGGGAACCTGGAGGTCCCAGCTGGACGGAAGGTAATGTAGTGCAGCCACTATGGAAAACAGTACAAAGGTTCCTCAAAAAATTAAACCCAGAACTACCATAGGACCCAGCAATTCTACTTCTGGGCATTTATCTGAAAAAAAAAAAAAATTAAAAAACACTAATTCAAAATGATATATGCACCTTATCTTCATTGCAGCAGTATTTACAACAGCCAAGATACAGAAGCAAGCTAGGTGCCTAGCAACAGAAGAATGGATAAAGAGGATGTGGTATATGTATGCAATGGAATATGACTCAGCCATAAAAAAGAATGAAATCTTGCCAGCTGCAACATGACTGGACCTAGAGTGTATTATTCTAAGTGAAGTAAGTCAGGCAGTGAAAGACAAATATCATGACTGCATTTTTATGTGGAATCTGAAGGTCAAAACAAGCAAGCAAGCCAAACAAAACAGAAAGAGACTCTCATACACACAGACTAAACTGACAGCTGGCAGAGGGGATAGGTGAAAAGGTAAGGGAGATTAGGTGTAAATTTCCAGTTATAAAAGTAAGTCACAGGGACGTGATGTACTGCACAGAGATTAAAGTCACAATACTGTAATAACTGTACGGTGACAGAGGTTATTAGATTTGTCATGGTAATCACTTCACAAGTTATAAAGATGTTGAATCACTATGTACAAATCTGAAACAATCTAATATTGTATGCCAACTATACTTTAATAAAAAAAATTTACAAAACAAAAAAAGTGTGAAACTTATTTATTATTTTTAATACATTTTTATTGGGTTTCAGAGAGGAAGGAAGAGGGAGAGAGAGACAGAAACATCAATGATGACAGAGAATCATTGAGTGGCTGCTTCCTGCACACCCCACACTGAAGCACAAAACCGAGGCCTGTGCCCTGACTGGGAATCAAGCCATAACCTCCTGGTTCATAAGTCCATGTTCAACCACTAAGCCACAGGCTAAAATAACACATGTTAAAGCATACATATACAGGGAGGGGCAAAAGAAGGTTTACAGTTTTGAGTATACAAAACATGGAGTTTATTCTTGTATTATTATTAATTATTGTATTATTTTTCTATATGGACAACTAACTGTAAACCTACTTTTGCCCCACTCTGTATTATTACACATATTATTACTAACATCTAAATTTTAGTCTGAACTTTCCTCCTCTACCAGGAAACCTTTCCTTTAAGGATGTACATTTATAAAAAAGAAAAAAAATCATTACTAAAGAAACATAATAAAAATATAAAATGAATTCGCATCTAAACCACATTACTTTCCAATTATTCTGTTCCTTTGGTGCCTTTGCATTACTATTGTCTTTGTTTTTTGTAGTCTACAGTAGTTAAGTAACTTGCTCAGCCATGTGCTTACACCCAAGAATACACACTGTCATGTGACACACCCAGGACATTAGTCACGAGGAAGGAAGAGGGAGAATCCAGGCAGGGATACAAGTCTCTCCTAACACGGGTGACATCACCAGCATGCTTATATGACTAATAATTTGTGAGTGTGAGCAGATAAAAATAAAGTAATGCACAAGAATACCTATACGAACTATCTGGTTACATACGTTAAGGTTATAATTCACTCAAAGGTCACACACTAGGAATCACCCAAGTGTGCAATCTAAATGGTAGCGCTCGGCTTCAGACTCTGCATTCCACAAGCAGCTGCCAGGGACCAGGAGAAAGTTCCGAAGAGAAGCATGGCTTCCCTCTCTCAACACAGGACAGAGGCAATGAACACAGGACGCTACACGTAAAACCCATGAAGTTAACGATGATGTAACAAAATATTCATGACATCAGAATACGTACAAGGTAATAATTAGTGAGTGTGAGCAGATAAAAATAAAGTAATGCACAAGAATACATTTTTCATTACCTAAGAGACTGTCAGTATAAAAAAATATTAATAACACTACATTGTTTTCTATTTTAAAGAACTCTAGTGATGACATATGAAAGTATAAAACAAAATTACTAAGATAAGCTAATAACCAAAAGAATATGTTTTATATAGGTGACAGCTGAGATTATGATTTTTTTTTTTTTAAACCAGAAGCTTACAATAGCCAACAAAAATGACAGATTTACAGCTTCACTGCTTCCGTCCAAAGGATTTTAATTTGCTTTCTTGGCTGACACTTTAAGAACTTTGATCGGGCTGCCTCTTAAATGAAGGTCAATGTTCAAACTAGAGCAGCAACTGCCTCAGGAGAACTACAGATTCAGGTAGAATTGAAGAGTTCAATCACTCATAAAAGTTTCTTACATGGCCTACAGCTCTTCTTCCTCTTTCCTGGGTACTATCTCTTAATGGTGTCACCGTTAATAAACAATTCTATCACTTCAGCAATAGGATGATAGGGAGACAAACCTCAAATTTATCGGTGGTGGCTGAATTATTGCAATAATTTTAGAATCCAGTTTGCTTTAAGTAATGGAAGAGAAGGCTAGTCTGAATAAAGGCTGGATCCTTTAAAAAGCAGCATTATTACAATTGAGACGCAAAAAGTCACTTGAGCCGAAACCCTTTTGGCTCAATGGATAGAGCGTCGGCTTGGGGACTGAAGGGTCCCGGATTCGATTCCGGTCAAGGGCATGTACCTTGGTTGCGGGCACATCCCCAATGGGGGGTATGAAAGAGGCAGCTGATCGATGACTCTCTCTCATCAATGTTTCTAATCTCTATCTCTCTCCCTTCCTCTCTGTACAAAATCAATAAAATATATTAAAAAAAAAAAAGTCACTTGATTTGCCAGATGGTAAATCTACTTTTATCTGTGTAGACATAAATGCTCTCGATATTTCGACATGCCGTATTTTTTTGTAGTTAGACAGTCTCATGAAATATTGCTTATATTATTCATTTGACTAGCTGATTCTTCCTTCAGAAATAGGCAAATTTTAGCCTATCCTTTATAAATAAAAAGAAGAAAAAATTAATCAGACTTGATGTATTTGGAACCCAGTTATTACAATCGACCCAATGAAAGACAAAGTTGATTACAGAATGCTTTTGGTGATAAGTTTCCGGGGAAAGGAGAGTTAAAAATAAATGCATTATGCTTACGTCCCCCTTACCAATGTGAGCTCTGTCAGAGATGATAAGCCTTTTTTCCCAGCCTTCCAGACCTAGAAGGAAAGGGGGAAATACATTTCACTGAACACTTTGTATAATAATTCTCTCATCTTAATTTCTTTCGAAACAGTGTGTTTAAAAGTGTTTTCCATTGAAGTTATCATTTTCGTAGCTTTTCTCCTGCATAGGAAACATGTTTAACGAGAATTTTCTCACCTGTCATTCATTACATATACAAACCCATTCGCACATGCTTTCTAAATGTTTTGCTCATAAAAGCTCCAAACACAGCCAGCTCTATCCACATAAAACACTTCTAGGAACCCAAACAGCAAATGGTAAAAAAAAAAAAAAAAAAGACATATTTGTAGGAGTTGGGGAAAGAGGAGGTGGTTGTAGAATAGGAGGAGAATTCCAGTAAAGGGAGTTGCTAATCTTGGGAATGGCACCCTTTCCCAAAACAATTATAAAAAATGTGATTAAACAAAATAATAGAAGGTTCTCACTAAGCCCTTCAAAGTATTACAATTACTCTACTTAGTATAGCAAGCTGTAAATATACCTCCCCATCCAATTGTGAATGCCTGCGAGCAGGGGCCATGTGGTCTTATAACATGGGCCACTCATCCAATAAATGTTCAAAAAAATGGTTGAGTGAGGAGGTAAATGAAGGTAAATATATTTTTTTAACATTTTTATTTCAGAGAGGAAGGGAGAGGGAGAGATAGAAACATTAAGGATGAGAGAACCGAGGATCCAAGATGGCTGCACAGGTAAACACCTAACCGCAGCCGCACACAACAATTTCAATAAAACACAACTATTATAAAATATAAAATGGACATTGCCCAGAGCTACAGGAAGTCGACTGACTGAAAATTCTACAACAAGGAGGAAAGAGAAAACCGGAAGGAAAATCAGAGGAGCCGTAAAAGCCTAAGGTACGGAGACACGCTACACGCGCAGGCAGAGAGGATGGAGCTGGAGAGGAGGGGGAGGCCGAGTACCTGGCTGGCGTCCCCTAGCAGGAAGGAAATAAAAGCCCCAGACTGGTCTAAACCCCAAACCTGACAGCACTGGACCCCAGTTCTAGGCCAGACCCTGGGGACCCAGGCTCGAACAGAGGGAGACGGGGCTGTGAGGCGGAATCCCAGGGGAGCGGCGAAAAGCAGGGCCCCCGGAGTCGCGCACATTGCATGCAGAAGACGGTCTGTTAACTCTGATGCTAGACTGCCCTAGCGGGAAGGAGACAAAAGCTCCAGACTGGGAAGAACACAATGAGAAGCAGGAGCCACCGCCAGGCACCGGCAAGCCAGGCGCCGGCAAGGAGCCGGGCAACAGGGCCGTGCCGCTGGGCCCTTAACCGCTGATCGCCGGCCACGGTGCTGAGGCCGGGGGCTGCTTCCTGGGCGGCGCCGACCCCAGCGACAGGCTGAAGCCGTGCAGGAGGCCGCGGAGAACAAAGGGGCGCCGCAGGCCAGCCTGCTGAGCTTCCAGGACGAGGAGGAAGAAACCGAAGAAGTTTTCAATGAGAAGAAATCAAGTTATAGCAAAAGATAGTAAAATTACTTAAGAAAGAATATAAAGAAGATCTTGAAAAATCGAAGATTAAGACAGAACTCAACTCAGTAGCCAACACTGCAACATAAATGCGTTTAAAAAAAAAAGACAGAATGTTGGAACAGCGGTGGCCAGGCCCATCGTGGCCAGGCCAAGGGCAGTGGCAGCCGGGCGCAGAGCAGCAGCAGCCGGACCCGGAGCAGCAGCAGCCAGAACCAGAGCAGCAGCAGCCAGGCCCAGAGCAGCCAGGCCTGGGGCGGAGGCGGCCAAGCCCAGGGCGGCCAGGCCCGAAGCAGCAACAGCCAGGCCGGGAGTAGCCAGGCCCAGAGCGGCGCCCGGAGCAATCGGGCCCAGAGCAGCCGGGTCCAGAACAGCCGGGTCGGGAGCAGCAGCTTCCAGGCCCAGAGTGGTAGCAACCGGGCCCCAAGCAGCAGCGGCCACACCCGGAGCAGCGGGGCCAGGAACAGCTCGCTCCTCGCCTGCCCCCGCCCCAAGGCTGCCTCTCAGACATGGCTGGAAACTTTTGGGGGAACTTGAGGGTCTGCTGAATCAAGTGATGAAGGCTTAGATCTGGATGTGTTGAGTTATTATAGCGCTGGAGTGTTGATCTGTGAGTGCCTTGTGTGGGGTCTGGATGAGGTTGGTTGATCTATTTGGAAATGTCTTTTGTGTGAAGTGTATTCTTGGGCATGTGGAGGTATTATTGATTTGAGAAAATGCTAAGTAATTGATTTGCTACCTAAAAAATTTAAAGTTCTGAAAGTTTAAGGTGTCTTGCCAAAAAGAGGTTTTAAAGCTAACACCTTAATTTTAAAGGAGAAAAGGGAGGACAAGCCCTTCCCACCCAGAACAGGTAATCCAATTCCAGCCAGCAGCTATCTTTAAACAATGTGTTCATTTACATTTGAATGGCTACGCCTTTTGATAGCCTAAGGGCAGGTTTACATGTAAACAAGTTTGCTTCTTAGTTCCCAAGGCAGAAAAAACAAGGTTTAAAATTATTAGATTTTAAAATTTATTCTTAAAAATATAAAAGTTTATTAATTTAAAAAAAAAGGAAATTAAAAAACCTGATGAACAATATTAACTGTTGATTATAACAGAATCAGAGATACGGGAGGGGAGTGGAGGGGAGTGGTGGCTGCAGGAAGAGACTGAACATAAACTGTGCACCTATGGATGAGGACAATGGGGGGTGGGGAAAGGGCAGAGGGTGGGGTGGGAACATGGTGGAGGGGGAAGAAATGAGGAACCTTTGTAATAATATGAACAATAAAGGTTGATTTAAAAAAAAAAAAAGGATTAGAGAACCATTGATCAATTGCCTCCTGCATGCCCCACACTGGGGAGAGAGCTTACAACACAGGCATGTGCCCTGACCAGGAATCAAACCGTGACTGCTGGTTTATAGTGACACTCATCCACTGAGCCACACTGGCTGGACAATAAATATGTATTTTTAAAGACAGTACACCTTTGTAAGCTATAATATATTCGTTAAAACACATACCCCCAACATTTTCAAAACTTGTGTTAGATATTAAAAATTGTTCATTTTTATAATATCTAAGGATTTATTTTAAAATTATTCCTTATAGTGAGAGGGCAGGGCGAGGTGAGGGGGCAGGGCGGGGCAAGAGGGCAGGGTGGGGCGGGTCCAGCTCCTGGTAACTGGACCCCAGGCCTAACCCAACCAATCAGGTCAGCCAAGGTAGCGGCACCACCCTCCCTATAAAACCCATTGATATGTTAAGTTCTTTCTCACCATGCCCTCGCTGGTGTTAAGTAGGACTGAGCTGGGACTAGTCCGAAATAAATACAGGCTTTCTGCAATTGCATCGGATTCGGCTCCCTGGTAGTCTTTGGGGTTTATGACACTTGGGCATTACGATAGATTAGATACAAGGACTTCTTGATAATGTGCTATAAGTCATAATAGGAACCCTTCCCCTTTCCAGCTGGTTTTGACATGAAAATATGCACTCTGAAGTTAGCTCAACAAGCATTACAAAACATACACTACAAAGAAACTCAGTACCGTGGCTTCAGCTGGCTTAGCAGGCCGGAGGGAAAAGAAAGGAGGGCCAAGCTTTCAGAGGACGGAGCAGAGCAGAGCAGAGCAGCCCGGGAGCCTCCGGCTGGGCAATGAAAGAGCTGGCCCCGATTCAGAGGCGTTGGGCAGCGAGACAGGGATCTGTGGAGCCAGACTGAGTGGTCCGAAACGCTGGAGGACAGATCGCTCCTTCTAAGCCTGAACAATGGACTTGAAGGATGTAGCAAAACTGGGTATTTTCAATCCGAGCCAAGCAAAAGAGAAACCCACTAATGATTTCCCTCCATTGTCTATTCTTTGCATTGCCCAATTCCTCAAACCCTAGCAAGGGAGTCAAGTCGACTTCCAAAAATCCAAAAGGGATGAGGGAAGGTAGGAAATCAAGATTTTTTACAAATATATATATTTTATTGATTTTTTACAGAGAGGAAGAGAGAGGGATAGAGAGTTAGAAACATCGATGAGAGAGAATCATCCATCAGATGTCTCTTGCACACCCCCCACTGGGGATGTGCCCGCAACCAAGGTACATGCCCTTGACTGGAATTGAACCTGGGACCTTTCAGTCGGCAGGCTGACGCTCTATCCACTGAGTCAAACCGGTTTGGGCTCAAGATTTTTTTAAGGAGACCGACGGATCCATGGCACAGAGGAGCATTTCTCTCGTCTGGAAGGAGGGACCTAACAGCCATCCTTTATCCCTGGGTTGTGGCAACCACGGAGCTCCGAGCCAGGAAACAAGACTGGCAGTGTGCGCATTGCGCTTCTGTGGTTCCTCATGCCCTAACTCAGTTTTGGTTCGTGCAGAAGGATATGCCAACCTGAGCATAAACGACAAGGTGAACTCATAAATCTCCCAGAGCTTTGCCAACAAGATAGAGTAAGTAGTGTTAGCTCCCTAGAGATCAAGTTTAATCGGTAAAGTGACCAAGACTTACACAATGACCTTATTATGTTTGTCTCTTGATTAAATGTGGATTAGAATTGATAAAATTTAACGACTGACATTAAACAACTTGTCCTCAATAACCTGCAATTTTAAAGTACAAGACAAAAACATGAAGTGCCTGGCTTAGCCAATGTGGCCCAGTGGTTGAGCATTGACCTATGAACCAGGATATCCCGGTTCAATTCCTGGTCAGGCCATATTGCCCAGGTTGCAGGTTCAAGACCCAATGTGGAGAGTGCAAGAGGAAACCAATCAGTGATTCTCCCTCATCATTGATGTTTCTCTCTCTTCTCTCTCCCTCTCCCTTCCTCTCTGGAATCAATAAAAATATATTTTAGAAATATAAAGAAAATAAATAAATAAATGTTAAGTAGCTGGTGTGAAATCCAAATAAAACTTTACCAAAAATAATAATTAATACTAGCTGGTTACTACGCAAAGCAGACTCATTCTTTCATACCTTTTCCTTTTTTAACATTTTTTTCTGCTTCCTCGAATAATCCCGGTAGATGAATTACCACACCATTTCCTAAAGGAAAACAAACAAATTAGTCCCAACCTTAAACATCTACACTTTACTAATACAGACACACATAATGATATTAAAATAGAGACATCTACAATTACCCTTTCTAGAGCATAGGAGATTGAGGGACTTGACTTTACAGGATATTCTGATTTATCAAAATGTTATCACAGAGAGGATTCCAAGTTTTAGACAGTAGTATAATGTAAGTGCACAAAAGAACATAAACACAAAACAAAAAACACTAAAATTACACTCAATATAATTTATAATTTCTGTGAAACTTATTTTGAAACAAACTAGTTATGTAGTTTTAGACATATTAAACCAGGTCAATGTCTTTCAAATTGGGAATCACACTATTACTGTTAATAACATTAAGTTAGTGGGTTGTAATTAGCATTTTAAAAATAAAAAACTAGAACATATCAGATTGCACTATATGTTATAAGGGCTCAGAATCAATTTATAAAACATATACTTGTTTGCCTTATTGTGTCATGTTTGAAAAAATGATCAGATGACCTACTAGTTCTTTATAGAATTAAGATTACCAATGAACACAGTTAAATGCAAAGCAATCATTTCATAAAGTATTAGTGCTAAAAGATCTAAAAGGAATTGTAAAATAGCCAAAGTTAGGTAAATTCCAGATGATACCAAGGTCAAGATTAATCATTTGATTAGTGAAGGATGAAATCAGTTTGATAATGAAAAATGAACACTGTTATGAATTGGGGGTGGGAGGGTTCTCAAAGGATTCATTCTATACTTACCAATGAATGCAGTAACATTTGGATTAATTATTCCACTGGGTAAAAGATGAAAATCATACTCCACGGAATCTACAACAACTGTGTGGCCGGCATTATTTCCTCCCTGAAACATATGATGGGAAAATGAACCTGACAATAAATATGACAAGTAATAGATCTCCTTCTGAAGGAAATTAATGATTTCCTGCTAAAATGTCACTATCACTTAAGGAAACCCAATCATTTGTCACAGATACTAATTCTTTGGAGACTTTATAATAGCTTTGCTAACCTCTCTCCATGCCTCACTCCTGAACACTGGAGAATTCAGATTTCTGGAAGATGGGAAGACATGCCCTCTAAAAAGACTAAAAAAAGAAAGAAAGAAAGAAAGAAAGAAAAGAAAAGAAACATAATTTTTATTGTTTGGGGCACTATGTAGGAAACATACTAATCTAATTAATTATCCATGATATTCCAAAATAAAAATCTCTAAAATAGAAAAGGGTAATCCATCCAGTTATCCTAACTTGATATAAATCCTATATAATAAAAGGCTAATATGCAAATTGACCAAACGGCAGAACGACCTGTCACTATGATATGCACTGACCACCAGGGGGCAGATGCTCAATGCAGGAGCTGCCCCCTGGTGGTCAGTGTGCTCCCAAAGGAGGAGCACTGCTCAGCCAGAAGCCAAGCTCATGGTTGGCAAGCACAGCAGTGGTGGCGGAATCCTCTCCCGCCTCCCAGCAGCACTAAGGATGTCCAACTGACAGCTTAGGCCCACTCACTGTGGGGAACAGGCCTAAGCTTGTCAGTCAGATAGCCCCCAAGGGCTCCCAGACTTCGAGAGGGCACAGGCCTGGCCAACGGGCCCTCTGCCCCTCCGAGTGCACAAATTTTGTGCACCGAGCCTTTAGTGTTCATATAATTCCCATGGTCCTAAGAGTGTCAAACAACTCTGTGACCTGATATTTGCATTCTTTTTTTTTTATATATATTTTATTGATTTTACACAGAGAAGAATTGAGAGGGATAGAGTTAGAAACGTCGATGAGACAGAAACATCGACCAGCTGCCTAGTGCACACCCCCAACTGGGGACGTGCCCACAACCAATGTACATGCCCTTGACCGGAATCGAACCTGGGACCTTTCAGTCCCCAGGCCAACGCTCTTCCACTGAGCCAAACCGGCTTCGGCTGATATTTGCATTCTTACATGGACTTATCAACTAGCAAATCTCCCAAGTAACTACCTCAAATATTGGCTATCCTAAGACTCAAACTTTTAAATTTATAAATCAGTCTTGTGAGTTTGGTTAGTAACAGAATCCTGGGATCTACTCATCTCTGGATAATGCTAGGTCAAAGACCCTCTAAAGCTGGGAATCATACTGTCGACCCAGCGTGAAATATCCCCTTTGGGAACCTCAAGCTTAAAAGGCAATTAAAGCAAAATTTGAAGTCAAATGATAAAAATTAGGCACAAGGCATACAATATTAAGTGACCAGATAAATTTTCTAATTTCTAAGTTTAAAAAATGTGAGGAAACACAAATCAATTAATTATAGTTTTAAACTTCTATAAAAATTTTTTTAACTCCAAAGTAAACCACATACTAGGAATATATTTGCAACAAAAAAATTGACATTTTCGTGGGGCATTATAAAAAATACTCGTCAAAATAGTATCTCCAGAGTATGACTAGTCTAACTTGACCACAAAACAATTTTGGCCAAAGTGAATGTTATTTACATTTTATTAAATCCTTAACAATCATGAATTCAGAAAAACGGTTCTTCAAAAAAAGTAAATGCTTACTTACACTTTACAAAGCAAAGAATCCCTGTTTGAAGGCTACGTGTGTCATGTATGTTTAAAAACAAACGACTTGACAGTGGTGACCTATAGTCTTACAAGATGACAAGTGGAAGGCAAGACACAGGAAGACAGAAGCAGGCGTGTTAAGCAAAACCTCCCTCCCTGGATACCAAGGGCAAAGGTGAATACTTCTTACTATTTATTTTTAACAGGAAACATCTGCATAGGATACAGAGGCACAGAGGATGAGCAGTATTCCAACCCGAGCCTGCCCTTGTTCCCTGGACAAGGCACCCAGGTACCACAGGTTTTGCGTCCTCCCAGAGGTAGTTTTGCATATACAAACATATTTATGTGCTAGAGGCCCGGTGCACAAAATGCGTGCACGGGTAGGGTCCCTACGCCTGGCTGGCGATCAGGGCCCATCAGGCTCCCACCTCCTCCTTCTCTTGTTGCCCACGAACCGCCATCATGCAATTCCCCCCATCTCTCCTCTCCCCCTTCCCTTGCTCCCTCAACGCCCCACTGCTGCCACTGGTCACCTGCCATGTTCCACACCGCCCCCCTGGTGGTCAGCACACATCATATCGAGCTATCAAGGGACCACTTTGCATATTAGACTTTTATATATATAGAAGATTGTTTTATTCCATGTTCTCAAATGTGAGCAAACTATATACACCTGAACGGCTTGCTTTTTTTGGAGCAATCTTAGAGCTAATTCCATAACTTTGCAAACAGAACTGTCTCATGCTGGAGGCTAATTCCAGCAGGTCATAAATGCAAGAAGTTTCATCAAGAGGTTGATGGAACCTTGAGGCTTCCGCAGGGCGGAATGGCCGAAGGCAATTCCCCAACCTGAAGATCTGCATATATTATTGCCTGTTACCAGACAGCCAAGGGCATTTTAATCTACATGTTATTGCCTCCTGCTGGCCAAACACCAGACAGCTGAAGGCAGTTCCCCCAAAACTGACAATGTCTCTGTATGCTAAACCTTAGCCTTTGATATGTATATCTGCTTTGCTTAGGGCAATTTGTGTTAATAAAGAGCAAGGGGTCCAGAGACTTAGGGAACTTGGTTCCTACAGCTAAGCTCCTCTGGCTCCCCCATGGATTACAAATTTATATTATATTTCTAGTCCCTTTATTAATTTACGCCAAGACCCTCCTCCAGATTCCTGAACCTTTCTAGATGCCGGATATCACGCCACAGTCTCATTCTTTTAACAGCAGCACTGTACCGTATTCCTTTTCATATGGACACACAATTCATTAAATTTGACTCATACAAGAGGCATTCAGGATGTTTGCAATCTTTTGTCATTTTGGAATAATGTTACAGTACACTTCCCAGTACATACTTTATTATTTCACACTTGTGTAAGTTTATCACCAATTCTGATAGAAGACTCCTAAAGCAAGCATTACATACCAAAAGGACATACTGGTCTGTTCAATTTTTCTTTAGAGCCCAGAAAAATGCTAACTTGCTATTACAATTATTCAAGTCTCAATTATTATAAATCACTAAATTTAATAAACGCTTACTAAATTGTTATAAAGTATTAGTAACTTTGAGACAATCAGTCAATGAAGCATTATTATTTAAATTAAAACTAGCTTTCTATAAAAAAACAAACTACTCTTTAATTTTTGGAGTAGACCTTAAAAGTAAGCCTACTACTTTACACAAATCATTTGTACAGATATTAATACAATCATTTGGTGACACAGTGGCTAACTCAGTGGTCCACAGGGGTCTTGTTGCACAACCAAAACCTACTCTCTGAGATAACATTGTACAAAAACAGCAGCACTGATGGCACAACCACAGTGGAGAGATGATGCTGAAATGTGTGTGTGTTTGCGGAGCTTGGGTTTGCTGTGACAGATGACTTTGGGGAGATAAACCGGTTTAATTCCTTCAGTTCTCCCAAGTTTACAGGTTGTGGTTTGGCTGGAAAAGTTCAGCTGCACACGGCTTGAAATCACTTTTTTTTACGATATATTTTATTGATTTTTTACAGACAGGAAGAGAGAGAGGGATAGAGAGTTAGAAACAACAATAAGAGAGAGTCATTGATCAGCTGCCTCCTGCACCCCCACCACTGGGGATGTGCCCGCAACCAAGGTACATGCCCTTGACCAAAATCGAACCTGGGACCTTTCAGTCCGCAGACTGATGCTCTATCCACTGGGCCACACCGGTTTTGGCTGAAATCACATTTTAATTAACAGTTTGCTCACTCAAACATTAACCAACAGTTTTCAATAACCCATGTCTTATTAAGGATAACTATAAAGTCTTAATCTCATTCAAATTCTGCTCGAGTATGAAAATGTGGTTACATTTAACCCCGATTATCCTGGTAAGGAGCTAGGGGAGACAGTGCCGGGCTGGTCAGATAAGTCCCCGTGGGCACAGAGCCCTGTGGGGACGGTGGGTGTGGTAGCTTCTAACCAGGAGGCACAGGCTGTGCAGAAAAGGTGCTCAGAGTGCGAGCTGCTCACAGGAGCTCCTGACAAGGTATCTACATGTATTATCAGTTAACAAGCCCACCAAGAATTACAAGGGCAGCTGTTCTGACCTGCACGCATGTTCCCACGTTTGTGATGGAACTGCTTCTCACACAGGCAGCTCTATGTAGTGTGCACCGGCATATGTACATGGATATATTCATTTAATCGTGTCTAACAATTCTCCTTAATTAGCACTGGCCACACAATACTATATAAATGATAGGAGATCAGTATTTTTTGTTCTGTTTTTAACAGAGATGTACTATTCCTGACTCATTCCAAAATTTTCCCAAGCCAAACTTGGTGAATCATCCCCAGATATAGAAGTAATCATACATTCATATGAATAGTTACTTGTAACGATCTCTTGCTGCTTTGCTATAGTCCCAAAGCTCTATGGTCCCAGTCCCTCGTGTAGCGTTTAACAAACACCTTTTTAATCAAGGCTGTGTTTTCTATGATTTAACTGAATTTAGCACAGAAAATGTTCAGTTAGCTGTTCTACAAGGAGGGCCTCCATGGCTCTGAGGTCAGTCCCCCTTCTTCCCATCCTTCCTCTTACTTTGCAAATCACCCCGCTGGCCCAGCCATTAGATCCAGTGGGAAACCTGACCCAGCCCGGGCCAATCCAGCTCCGCCCTCTTGGGCATTTGATTTGAGAAGAGAAGAAGGCATTTAGGAGTTAGAGACGCCAGTCACCTAAGGGCACATCCTCAAGAGAAAGGCCACCAGTCCCGACCTTTGACCCCAGAGCTGCCTTTGTCTGGGGCCACTC